ATTTTTTAACGCAAGCCGTCATCGCCACGGAGGAGCACACAGCCTCTGTGAGGGAGCACACCTTTATCTATTTAATATAGTTGTAAAAAATTAAGTAAGAAATCATTCCGATGTGTACTAACTATAGGACAGTAAAAAAAAGAAAACAGTTTCAAAGGGGAGTGATTAGTCAAATATGCATAAATAAAAAGAAATAATGCTAACTAGGTAATATAAGATAAGAATAAACCAGTTTGATGATTTGTTATTGGTTGTGATCATATTCTAAAGATGTTTGGATTATTGAAAAGTATACAGCTCTTTCATCTGAGTGTTGAGAGCTGTATCCATCAATTCATTTTGTGCTCAGACTGATGCACTGATGATTGATGCATTTCACTTCAACATTTAAAAAAAATCTTCTCGGGGGAGCATGCCCCCCGGACCCCCCCTAGAGGATGTGAGGTCCACCCCCAAATAAATTAGGTTCAAATAATTCAATTGCATACAATTTCTTTACGTAAACACTGACCACAGACCCAAACAGCACACAAAGGTTAAAGGTAAGCATATAATAATGTGTAATGAAATAAATACCAATAACTGCATTGCATTGTTTTCTTATGCGCAATTACTTCATACTGTCTTCGTCTTTTTCGTCCTGCATTTATTGTGCCCCCCTCAGAAAATAACTGGCCCCAGCCTGGCCCCCCCAGTCAAATTGGTCTAGAACCACCACTGGTTACAAGATACATGATAATGATTCATGGAGAAAGACTCGGCCTCCACCGCTCTCTTCCTTTCCATGATTACCTATTACTGATTACATAAAACCAATAAAAAGCTTGTTTATTTTCCTGTTTATAACTTAAAATCTCGCTATTGTTAACACTGGATCACTGTGGAAATGTCTTGATCGACGTCTAGTGTAGATGATGGTAGTATTCACGTACAAGAATTGCTACATGAAAGAATACATGCCTGAATGTATCTGAAGTTCTAACTCTCAATGAGAATATGCAGTAACTGGCAAGATGTACTGGGGGACTTACAAATAAAAATAAAAACCTCTTAAATGCTCTTTTATTACAGTAGACCTGACACACTGCCACTCTCTTTCAAGCATTTTGTGTTGATGCCCCGTTGGGTGTCCGGGGATATTTGTCGTCAGATTTCCGCCTCTCCGCAGGGACAGCTGCCAGAGAGCAAGGAGCAACACCAGCTGCCTGACCTCACTCGTCTCTGACCTTCTGACCCCCCCGCCCCATGGAGGGAGAAAAGAGGATCGACCGATTTAACACCTACACAAGCATGCCCAAAATCTGATAACTGGATATATGTGACTTCCTTCATCAGAGCTCAAGGTGAGATTATGCTGTGTGTTGGCTTGTGCATGTTCTAACCAAAGACTGTATATATATTACTGTACACAAAAGGATCACATACCAGTGGACAGGACTATTGACGAAATTGGGGTTAAGTATCATCACCCAGGGCAATTGGACATGTTGACTGCTGGGATGAAAACAATGACTCTCTGATTGGTAGATAAGCCTGATCCATGGCACTCGTAAAACAGGACACTTAATGGACCACACGATACTCAAACACTCACATTTACATTACAATTAAAATAAATGCATTCATTGACCCATTTTCACCCATTGTGTCCTTTCCTGTTTTTGAAATGTTGTGTTCTTTGCCTTTGTAATACGTGGAGCATATTTTGTATGTGTGTCTAACAGTCATCTTTACACATTCACCTGTATAAACATGTACAGGTTGACTTAAACACATAGTTCATAGATTGAACCATGGGGGCCCCAAATATGCAAAGCATGTACGTGTTCTCACATGTTTCAAGTTCATGTTAACTGTCATAAATGTACTTATTAAGTGCATGGAAAAATACTGCATGTTGCCGCACAGTGAATCTTACATGCAAATCTACTGTATGTATTTAATTCATAACTCCTGCCATTGCTGACAATAATTTATGAAGTCAAGGAGAGTTCCAGAGGAAACAGACTTGCTTTCACCCACTCCTTTCACACTAACCTCCTCCATTCTTGTAGCAGAGGTAAGGGAAGCGCCACATGTTGCCCAGGCCGATGATGGACCCGGCGACCGACAGAATAAACTCGATCTTGTTGTCCCACTGGCCCCGCTCCTCCAACTTTTCCTCCGATGGGGCTTTCTGGACTTTGGCCATGGTGCCATTGGGGATGCCCGCTTTGGCAGCGTCTCCTACAAACCGGACAAAGAGAAGAGGATGGCGCAGCTTTAAAGGCACGTTGGGTTGTTTTCAACAGTCAATATGCCATGAAGCAAGGCACTAAAGACAGCAAACAGTTCCAGCTGCAAGGTGGGCAAAATTAGAATAATGTAGTTTTTACTAAACATCGATAAGAAGGATTGTATAAGCATGCACGTGGAGTCCTTTTCACTTAAAACCTTGTCTATTAGTAAGCAAGATATGATTGGATAGTGTAGCTTCTAGTCAACCAGCTTTGTAAATCCCTGTCAAAAGTTTAGACAATTTCAAGATGTTGTTTTAAATGCTCTCTTTCTTTTATGGTTTACTAATAATGTTTGTATATATCCGTTTATATTTTCAATTCTTTCAGTTTTTTTATTGTACTTTTTTTGTATTTATAGTTTTTTTTTGTATTCTATACATTTGTGTAATGTCTGTTGCTGGAAAAACATAATGGTGATAAAAAAAGTATTATATTAATCTTGCAAATGTGATATTTAACTGAAAACACACACAAATGTGACACATTATGAGCTTTGTGTTCATAAACAATTGTCTGTTTTAATCCATAAAACATTTATTTTTTAACATTTAATGATAACTGTGGTAATCTGCAATGCAATCAGCAATGTGTCCTTATATATTAATTAAAGAAAATAGGAATAAACCTAAGCAAAGGGACCTGCTGGGAAATGTGCATGGTCTTAAATAAAAAAATGTGCAGTTAAAATCAATTTGCAAAAAGGACATAAATAACTTACCTTTCATTGCAGTGTCACCGGGTCTTCTCTGTATCTCTGCAGCAGTCTCTGGAGGTTTGTCTCTAAATGCTCAAGTTTTAGGATTTAAATGACTGGAGTGAGGGGTGGGTGGGGGGTGGTCTGTAATGCTAAACTAAGGCCGGCCTCTTTCTTTCCTTTTCCTCTGCCCCTTTCCGAGCAAAGTACATCTCCTGTCAAGAATCCATTGAGCAAAATAGGAGCCCAATTGGATTAAATGAGATGATATTGCGTGAATTACAGCTGCAATCGACCACCTCCACTGTACTCCAATTAACTAATGTAAATGTATCTTAATAATAAGGCTTAGATTTGGGATTTCTCGCCTTTCTGAAATATAGTTCTTCTCAATTTCCTGCCAGAGGTCAAAGTTTTTTGCTGCTGAAATTAAAACATTTTAAAAGTCAACTCGGGCATTTTGATGCATTGATGGAAGAAACCAGTGGTGCAAAGAATACCTTTACTCAAGAATAGTACTTAAGTACACATCTTAGGTACTTTACCAGAGTATTTTCATTCTATACTACTTTATACCTCAACTATACTACATTTTGGAAGCTATTTTTGTACTTTTTACTCCTCTACAATTAATTTACCGATTTATTTAATAGCTACTTTACAAATGAAATGTTTGAATGTAATTAAATACGATTAGTTGGTATAGATTACACAATATGAGTGGGTTAACAGAAAGGCAGCAATTGTGTTATATTTCCAGTTCCAGCTTCTTAAATGTGAAGTTTATTCAAAAATATTTAGATATTGTTTGAGTTTTCTCTCCCATGAGTACTTTTACTCCTCATACTTTAAGTACATTATCCTAATCATACTCTGCTTAAGTACCATTGTGGATGCAGTACTTTCACTTGAAATATAGTATTTTTACTCAAGCAAAGAATCTGAATGATTTTTCCACCACTGGAAGAAGGGTACAAAGAATTAACAGCACATGTTTCTGATTTCACACAGCAGTATGTCTACCAATCTTGGGGAGAAAGACGTGAGTAGAAAACAAATCACAGAAGCAAACAGACCATATAATGCTCTAAAGAGATGGTTATTAACGCCTTTGTGCTCATTAGGAGAGCCAACGGTCGTACATTCCTCTCTCAGGCAGGGGGGGTCTACACAACAAACAGTGGGCCATGAAAATGTTACGCAATCAATTATGTCCCATTACGGTTCATTGTGTTGATGTGTTGCGGCCCCTCGTGATCACATGCTTCTAACTCTGCACAGTGACAGAGGTGAGGGACCTGACGGAGGCAAAAGTAGCTCCGGTCAGTTCGCACCGGATTTCACTTGGTTAGAGTTAGAAGAGACTTCTCACCTCCTTCCTTTTTACTGTTTATATATTCATGTGTCAATCCTAAGAAAATTGGCGCTTTTCCCCCCCACCTAGAAACATGAAGGAACCATGTTGAAACAGCAAGAATCTAAGTAATAGTATCTGAAAAAAGGGTAGATAAAAATCAATATGATGTGTAAATTAATTGTTTTGCACAAAATGCATGTTTTAACCGCTTATAATGAAGGGAAAAAACATATTCAACATGCAATTTTTCCTACCGGAGCCCCACAACATGCCAACACATGTCTCCCCTAATTGAGCTTAATGAGCAACACAGGAAATGTGAAGATTAACTCACAACTTACATCAAGGTCTCGGTGACATAGAGGTCACAAGTCACATTTCAGGCCTAGGAATGTGACCCACCAATCATTCCAACGCTTCAGCAGAATCAAGGAGGCAAAAGCTAAAAAAAACAAAATGCAGTATTTGCAATACTTTGTTTAATTCTATCCTCTCTCCATTTTCTCTTTAAGACAAAAACAGGAAGTCACTCTTTAGATTTTTCCTAAATATAAAAAAACAGGGCAAAACTAAAACAGACTAATTCAACATTTAAAAAAGCATCACAATTGTTTTTCATTTGACTAGGAATAGTTTATTAAAAGGTGAGAAAAAAAAGAAGAAAAAAAGCCACAATCCATTTTTTTTTAATCGCGTAAAAGTATGTACATTATAAATAATTCCACTACATTACAACCATTTGTGTTGGCTAGTCTGGAGTCCTACGTATTGAGATGTTACTGAGGGGCCAGGCCAGGGGGGGGGGGGGGGGGGGAGGCAGATCAGGATGTCCAGTAAAACAAAGACTGGGGGGACACGATTGTTTATTTGCACTGAATACAACAGCTGGAAGAAGTGTTTGACTGTAAGAAGGTGCACTGAGGATCAGGAAGTAGCTGGTGGGCGTTTCTACACCTAGAACTGTTGCAGGACGACTACATCTCGTGTGTTAGCTGAAGCCACACAGGGACACTCTTCTTATCTCCGTCTTTAAGATGCATCTTCTTTCTTGTGCTATATAATCCGGACAGTTACAGTCTTTCATACACCCTAAGATGTCGTACATTGTGTGAGGTACAGTATTCAATCTCAGTCTTAGTATGTTCTGTAAATGCTAACTGCCCTGCTGAGGCTCTGGCTGATGTGAGGCTGCTGGGTGTAGTAGAGTGGGTGTGTGCGACCACGAGGCCACCACTGATGGCAGGCTTTGCACACTGCACATGGATGTGGACAGCACTACGACGCTCTCCTCCGCCACCTCCTCCACCGTGACCCCTAAGTCCCCCCCGCCGGCCTTGCCGATGCAGTCCATGCAGACGTAGTCCTCGTTTTCGGCCATTTCGCACGTAACGCCAACGCACACCTGGTGGAACCACTCGTCGCAGCCGCCGTCGCACTGCACCCAGTCCACCTGGATACACACACACACACACAGGAACACATGTGAGTACATTAAAGCCCCAGTGAGACAGGAGCAGGAGCGTCTTGAGCGTCTATACTGTGACATATAGAGTGGTGCAGTGATGATGTATACTTGTAGGCCGACCCAGAAGTTAGCATCACAAGTGAACTACAAAAAAGGCAATGGGGTCATTTAATTGGATTTTGGAATATTACAGAAAATAAGCTCTGTGGCAAACATGTTTATTAACCTTACACGTAGACTATAAAATAACTACACGGTCAAATGTCTTCAAGTCACCACTGTGAAGGTAAAGGTGGCTAATGTTCGGGGAGTAGTCTCATTTAGCCACTTGTTAGTAACCGTTTAGAAGACACATAGAAGCTTCAGACATTCAGACAGTGGAGTATTTACTTGAGTTAACCATAGACCTTATTTCAGGCTTCTATCCTTAAACTTTTTTTTAAAACCCTGACTTTGAGAAGAGGAAACCTGAAAGAGCTAAAATGCTAACTCATATCTGGGTTTAGGACTTATTCCTGCACCACTTTATTTTCCAGAGACGCTGAATATTTGAAGGGTATAGTTAAAAGAGGGATTTAAATCAAATCCATTGCATCTGATTGGACTGCCTAAAAGTGGGCGGGCTTAAAATATTGGTTGCTCCACACACACGTCCTTATAGCTGCAGATTCATCGATGGACAGATATCACAAATGTTTTGGTTGAAGTTTGTTGGTACTAGCTTACATAATCACATGTCATGTATTGTTTTACAGGAGGAAAAAAATTGTTGGGATAAAAAAAAATTCAAAAAATAGGATTTTGTTTTTTGTTTTTGTGGGGAGCAAAATATGACCATGGATGTAATCTATAAGGGTTAATAATGCTTTTTTTTTAAAATTTCATCCCCATTTTAACATGGACCACTCAAAAGAAACATGACAATTATTCAAAAAAAGCATGTGGCACAAAATTCAGGAAAACGTGTGGGTAATTTTTTACCAGCACACGTTAAAGCTGCAAATCAGTCATTTGATTGATCTAATGTACTGGAGTAAACTGGCCAAACACTGATGCACTGTAGATGATCTTGTGTGTTATACACCACTAACCGTGAGTTGTGTAGAATAACAAAACTAACTGAACTAAAGTGCACTTTTAAAATGACTAAATATCAGGAAACAGCAGAGGTAATACTCTGCATGTCAATAATACCGCACGACTGTAAATCATCCAAACATCAGGTGTTGTCAGTTCCAGTTAGGAGCGCCTCCTTCCTTATTTCACCATCTCCACCCCACCCACTGAGGTGCAAGCCTACCAGTTCCTCCGCTCTGATTGGACGGAGCCTGGCCACTGTGTCGGAGTGCAGTGCTGTCTCAGGACCGCATCAGTGTGTCCTGTTAATACGTGATGTGTAACTCTCTTTAAGGTGTTCCAGTGCGGTTATCAGCTGTTGATATTCAATAACGTTCCATGATGTTCATTTGGAAAAGTGTTTGTTATTAACTCGGCAAACAAACGGAACCAGTGTCATCCACCTCCAGACACCCAGGTGTTTACAGCAAACGTCACGTGATGAAAGCGTCAACCAGAATGTTCTGCCTTTCTCCCTTGTTAGTCGGGGATGTAACTACAAGGGTCACGAGGTTCACATTTTAATATGGTATTATGACAGGTTTTATTTAGTCAGTCTGCACCTGGTGGGGTTACATAATGCAGATTAAATGCATATTAAAAGAGACTGCTAGTGGGAGCAACTTAAAGGATACTATTATGGTAGAAAAGATATAGCAGAATGTACAAATAAAAGTACTTTTATGGAGAAAAGTCACTGCATCAGGGAGTATTATTACACCTTTGAATATAGAGTGAGCTTTTTAATTAAAAGGGGATGTGTGAAAAGTCAATGTTAAAGCCCAGCCTTCTGCACTTGTGTGTTATAACAAGTTTCTTTGCCGTGGTGTGCTGGGGTGGAAACACAAACACTAAGGACACTGGCAGGCTGAACAAGCTCGTGAGGAAGGCTAGCTCTGTAGTTGGAGTACAACTGGACAATCTGGAGGAGGTGGCAGAGGGGAGGACGAGGAGGAGGCAGAGGGGAGGACGAGGAGGAGGCAGAGGGGAGGACGAGGAGGAAGCTCGACAGCATCCTAGACGAACCCCTCCCACCCACTCCATGCAGAGCTAGTGAAGCGAGCCACAGACTCATCCCTCCACAACAACGCACCAAGCGCCTCGGACAGTCCTTTGTGCCTGTAGCTATCAGGCTGCACAACAAGGGGTCAATAATGAAAAAGAAATAAAATAAAATCACTGGACATACATATACACTGTTTCCACAACCCATGTTAATATATTAGTAGTAGACCAAATATGTAGATAGATATGTCACTATATGTTCAGATGTCCATTTGCACTTTTCACTTGTCACTCATTCCGTACTTCATAATTTATATGACCAAATATGTATATATGCTGACAGTTATTTTACTCTTATTTTTACTCATCTCCTATTTCATAGTCTTTTATTATTATTATCATTATAATTTTTTTCTTGATTTGATTTTTGATTTGATTAATCTGTGTGAATCTTTGCTGTCCTGTTTTTTCACGCTTACCCTGTTGCTGCTTTGTAAAACTGAATTTCCACACGGGGATTAATAAAGGTCCGTCTTATCTTATCTTATCTTAGTTTCTCTAATGTCAATCGGTGGTTGTCTAAACGTGAATGACTAGAAATGAGTATGTTAACTTAATTCTAAATTGACGATACAAATTGCAAAAAATGTTTAGATTAACTGCTGAAACAATTTCCAAACATTCATCTGCTACTTAGTAATATATATCTACTATCTAATATATATCATTCCAATAACTTGTATATAGACTCGTACTGCACTATTCCACATACTCACTTTATTTTAGAACTATTTTTCTTTTTGTATTACTTTTACTATCTGTATTATTATGTTGCATTGTTGGAGAAGCCTGTGACATAAGATTTTCAACGACATAATTACTCTGTAGCTATGTTAGTTTGACAATAAAGAACCTTGAACCTTGAGATAAGAGCTAACAAGATGTGTAAATTGAGTGATTAGTTGTTGGAAAGAAAGAAGATCGGCTCCTTTTGCTACTTTAGGGTAAGGATTTGCCATTTCTCTCTATATCACAGCACTGCAAACCAAGTGTCTTTGAGTTTTAGACGGTTGGTTAGACTTAAAGGCAATTCGGAGACATCACCTTAGGCTTTGGAAAACTGCATTCGGCAATTTATAGCCCAAATTAAAATAAGTGCAAGACTATGCAGACATGTAAGGGAGGTTGTGGCTCAGTGGTTAGTGCGCTGATCTTCGGATCACGGGGGCCACTGATTTGAATCCCGCTGCAGTCAAACATTCTGCTGTGTCCTTGGACAAGACACTTCACCCCAAATTGTTCCTGTGGGGATTGCCCACAGTATTGAATGTATGTAAGTCGCTTTGGATAAAACCGTCTAACAAGTCACGTGTAATGTAAAAAATTGCAGCATTTTTGGACTAAATGTGAAATGAGTCGTCAAATTGTCATACTGAATAATGTAGAAAAAATGTGCCTATATTGATAATCCTGAGATAATTATTATTTACTAGTTGAAATTCCTAGTAAATACATGGCTTTAAATGAATATTCAAGGCAAAATTGATTCCAAAAATACAGAACTTTAAAAAGAAAGTGCTTAGTCACATTGCGGCCGATGACCTCTGTTAATTACTAAACTGTCGCTGTGTTTATCATTCATCTACGATTCCCCCTTTGTACCTCTTCGCAGAGGTGGGAGTAAGTCCTACATGTGCAAGTCATGAGCAAGTCTCAAGTCTTGACCTACAAGTATCAAGCAAGTCCCAAGTCACTGTGGTGAGAGTCAAGCAAGTCAAGTCAAGTCATTGCTCAGGTCAAGTCAAGTCAAGTCAAGTCATACGAAATTCTGATGAATAAGCCCAGTTTCCTCTTCGACTGCAACACACTCCCAATGCTTAGTGCTGAGACTGTGAGAAAAGCTGCTTTCTCAGAACCAGAATGAGGGGAAATAAGTGTCCCTGAAGGAGTCCTCACCTTATCTTTGCAGGGTCTCTGGCAGTTCTTGGCGGCGCACACAGCGTTCTCGTCGTTGGAGTCCTCCGCCCCGGACCAGTCGTACTTGGAGGGAATGTCGAGGATCTTCTTCTCCTTCCTCTTCTCCAGCACGTCCCTCATGGCCTCCGCCTTGGCCACCAACTTCTCCTTCCTCTTCCTCTCCTTCTCCTCCTTGGCTAAGCGCTTGGCGATCTGCTTCATCTCCCGATTCTTGTCCATGTTGAGCTTGAGCTTCTTTTTCTTGGGTTTAATCCCAAGTCCCAGTTCCAGACCCACCCGTTTCAGCTCTTTGTTCTTGCCTGGCCGCATCTCGCCCATCACTGAACCTCCACCTGCGGCAGCGGCGGCGGCCATCAGCATGTGGTGGTGCTCGGCCCGCTCCAACTTCCGCTTCCTCTTCTTCTCCGACTCTTTCAGCTTGAGCTTCAGAGGCTTATCCATCAGAGAGTCGTCAGGCTGTGGGAAGGGAAGACATTAGATAACTGTTTTCATTTCAAATGTTGCATGACTTTCTTTCATTTGAGCCATATGCATCTATTCAGAAAAACCCTTAAAAGGTCCCCTATTATACTGTTTTTCATCAATATATTATAGGTCTCAGATATATACAAAACATGTCTCTGAAGTGTTTGACTTGAAACACCAAACAGATCATTGCAGCATCCCATAATCCCCTCTGTTTCAGCCCTGTTTCCAAAGTGCTGATTCTCTGTCTGTTACTTTAGATGAAAATAAGGAGCCCCTCCCCACGCCCCTCTGAGAGATATTTGGTTAAAAAGAACACAATGGTGCTCTAGGAGGAGATTCAGGTGATAAGGTGGGGGGGGGGTACCTTGGTTGGTGATTGGCTAATGGTTACACAAGCCAAAAAATCGTTATGACATCATAAAGTGGCCAAAATCTGATCAGCTCATTTTCAGATGGATCAGGACAAAAAGAGAGAATCTTTTTTCCTGAAACTTTCAGAATCTCTTTACACAGAGGGGGACACATGTTGATGTATAAAAGACATGAAAAAGATCAGTTTGCATACTAGGTGACCTTTAAGCAGAACCGATAGATTTAAACCCCAAGCCAAACACGACTCAGCATTTCCCTGGGGTCCAGCTGCGCAATCAGGTTGCATAATGCGTGACGTCGCCTACCTCCATGACCTGCAGGAATCTCTCCTCAGACGGGGGGTGTGTGGCCTGCAGGATCCTCCAGATGTGCTGGGTCTCATCCAGGGACACCTCCAGCAGGTCTCCCAGCATCATGAGCTCCTCCAGCTGGGCCTTCGCCTGCGAGGACAGCTCCAGCACCGGCGGCTCCAGGCTGCGAGGGACCAGGGGGGTCTTCCTGGGCTGCTTCCTGGGCGTCATGTCTGAAACGTCAATATTTTGAGTGTGAGATGATGAAGGCATTCATTTCAGAGCAAATCAACAAAAATGGAACCTCTCAGAGGTGAATATTTATCATAAAAGTGCTCAAAATGTAGCTTTCTCTAAGTTATTTGTGCACAAAGACAACAGGAGATGATGCGTTTAGGGATCCAGGGAAACAGAGAGGCTCTAAAATGTGGCCTCACTTTGTACACAGGACTTTGAGGCGGAAGAGTAGGCGTGTTCGGCGCAGAATGACGGCGTGACGACCGGCCACATGTGACTGACCACCTCTTCAGATTTCACGGGAATCTCCTCATCGCAGAACAGGTAGGGCTTCACCTCGCCGGGGTCCTGGAACGATGCAGACACCACAAAGGGAAGAATTAGAAGTAGAATATCTTGCTTATAGGTGATTTGAGCAACATCGCTTGCCGTACATACCTTCATGTCGTAACCGTACGTCTCCCTGATGTCCTCGTCTGAGTCCGTCTCCTCGTCATCGTAGTCCACCGACTGGCGAGGTGAAGCGGCTCGACTGAAGCCTGACTGCTGAAAAGTCTGGATGTGGCCCTGAGGAAGGACAGAGACACATATTTAATGTCTCTGATTTGATTAGATACTTAGTATACGTTACAGTTGCTCCGATTTTAAAATACAAAATAAGCATAACAGAAATTATAAGATTATTGAAATCAGAAATCTGTATGTAAAGGTTTGTGGACTAAACTACAATATATACATTTTATTTCAAGTAAAAATAAGACATCTGTAAAAATATGTACACTAAAATATAAATATAATGGTAGTGAACATGGGATCAATTATAAAATGTGTTAAAATGTAAATGTATATATATTTCTTTTAAAATAAAAAAGTAATGTTTTTAAATTATACAAGATAAATCAGATTTTTCCAGCCACATGTAGAACAAAAAGCGTACATGCCTCCTATTTTTATATCCTAAACACCATACAAAATATCCTTATGCTCGACACATTCCAAAGTTGTAATTAAAAATAAAGGTTATTCTAATTTTTCAAATGTAACACTGACAATAGAGAGGCGAAGTCCTTCCCTTTCCGGGGGACCTCCATGGGACCTTATTTCGGAAAAAGTATGTATTGAAGTCAATGGAGAGAGAAAGATTATCGTTCGATCCCCTTTGAATTGTGCCACGAATTACACATATGATGTTTGTCAATTTAAAAGATAATTTTGCAAGTCAAAAAATAAAAATGTGTCGTAAAACTGTGAAGTAACACTTTTTTTGTGTGAAACCGCTCAATGAACTACATATCCCGTCTCGCACCACACACCAAGACGGCCGTCACGTTGGCACATTTCACCTCTTTCTTTCAGAATGAAGCGAAAAGTATTAAAAGAGGTGAAAATCACTACTCTGGGCATGTTGAGAGCTGTACATACACACAAGGGGAGTTAGGCGGTTCCGTAAGAGCCAGCATGCGGGACCGGGATTCTGGGATTTGTAGTCTTTCTAGTTGCGTATTTTTCATAGTCTTATATTTCAACAGTTTTACGACAAACTGTCAACTTTTTTGACATGGAAATTATTATTTAAGATTGACAAACATCATATGTGTAATTCGTGGCACAATTCAAACGGGATTGAAAGATACGTTTTCTCTCTCCATTGACTTCAATACAAACTTTTTCCGAAATAAGGTCCCATGGGGGGACTTCGCCTCTCTATAGTCTTGTGGTCTATTTCATGTTTACCCATTAGTGCCCCCTTGTGGTGCATTCCATACAGGATTCCTAGACTCTTGTATTTTCTGTTCTAATGCAGCATTACAGTGTGAAATCCTATAAAGTACCTGCAAATCCGGGTTGGCAGCAGCTTTCTGCAGCTCTGCGTTGATGATCTTCTCCGTTTTCTCTCGGGCAGCTTGCTCCACCATGCGCTGGCTCAGCACAGACAGCTTCGCCAGCGCTGAGGACAGCTCGTCCGTGGCCAGAGATTGACGCGCTCGGTCCTGGTGGGACAGTCAGACCAGAGTTAGGATGACTATGGTTCAAAATAAAAGCATGTGAATGTTGTAACCTGAGAAGCTCTAACTCCATGCATACCTGCCAGCTCATCGCCCTTTCTGTCAAACACTGCAGGGCTTCTCCTTCTGGAAGACGCACCGGCAGCTTCTGCAGCGACACAAGCAGCGACAGGATGGTCTCTAACCTCGGCCTCCTCGACCTCTGACACAGCGGACACAGGAACTTGGAGTCCTTGGTGTTGCTCTGCCAACCCACACCAGTCTTCTTCTGCGTTCCCGTTTTGGGCAGAGGCACGCAGGCTCCGTGGAACCAGTCCTTACAGAGCTCGCACTGCAGCATGAAGCCGCTGGCCGTCTTCCGGCACAGGCAGAACTTCACCTCCTCGATGCGGTCGGCCATGGCCATTTTGGCTAAGTTAGCGGCGCGGAGCGAGTGGATGGACTCCACCTCTTTATGCTCCTTTGATTTGAAGGCTGCTACGACGGTGGAAGGCTCTCGCGCCTCCTCCAGGCTCTCCTCCAGGTCGCTCAGGGCGTCGGGGTCGAAGCCTCCTCTCTCCTTCTCCATCAGCTCCTTCACGCGTTTCCTCTTGCTCTTGCTGTTGCCGTAGATGCCGATGTCAATGCGAGGACTGAGGACCTGTCAGAAAAAGAAAGGCGTACCGGATTAGCAACATGTAAGATTCATACATTTGACATGAGACATGCCTCAAATACATGGTTTCACGGTGGCCCACCTGGAGCAGTGTGTACGTGGAGTTCTTCTTGAGGAAGGTGCGCGCCGTCCTCTCCCTCCAGGCTCGAGCTGAGGCCACCTGAGACTCCACCTGGCCCAGCGGGTCGAGCCGGACGGGGATGGAGCGACCCCGGGCCAGCAGGCTCTCCAGCTGCTCCAGGTAGGCGAAGCTACTGCCGCTCTGTCAGAGGGAGAGAAGAGTTGTTAGAGACATTGGAGCTTTTTAAGAGCTATAAGTTCAAATACCAGTCCCTCAAGAGGACACGTGACTTTAGACTGAACAGGTTATTGTACCTGAATGGCTTCCACTTTAGAAGTCCACTCCTTGGCCTTCTGTAGGGCCTCGCGGAGGGCCAATATGTTAGGGAGGTACGCTGGGATGTTCCTAGCTTCCAGCACAATGCTCTCCAAGGTCACCAAGCTGTGTCGAGGCCTGGGGGGGGGGGGTTATTAGAGACAGACAGCCATGATTATCAAGTATGACTAAATGTATAGTTAACTATTTTTTGTAACTAGCACCAGTTAAAGGTGAGGTAGGTAATTTTGGAGAAACCAGCTCAAGTGCGCTAGAATTTGAAAATACACAGCCGGAAAAAAATCTGCCACTTCCTTCCAGAGCCCCTCCTCCAACACACACGAACGCGCACATGACCAATGAGGGCACGAGATAAGTTTGTGCACAGATGGAAAGCTGACAGGCAGGTAGGCCATCCAATCATTTTAGCCGGGCCGGTCGTACTTTTTACAGTACTACTTCTTCCACAGATGAAATTTTTTAATGGATTTTTTGTCAAAGCACTTAAGATATTCATTGCTATCGGGATGTTAAGAGCATTCCATGGAATATAACAAAAAGTGTATGTGGTTTCTCAAACTTACCTACCCCACCTTTAACTATTTTTTGTAACTAGCATCAGAATACTGGTGAGAAAATGGTGATAAATAAATAAAAATTTAGCATAAATATATTGAATTGAACACAAGAAGTTTGTGTTTATTTGTATGAACATGAAAAGTTAAATGTCCCATAAAAGATACAATTTCAAAAATAAAAATGTATTTAAACATAAGAAGTAAGAGTAAAATGTCTAATAAAAGATATATAAAATATGTTTTAATTTAAAATATATATATTTGTCTCTAATATGTTTTATTAAATGATGAACAGTACGAAGGAGAAAGTGCCAACATTCCCATGAAGTATTTTGCGGATGTGTTGCACATGCACGCTCACCTGGCCTGAAGGCAGCCGCGGGCCTTGTCCTCCCATCTCTCGGAGACGGTGAGGATCTCCTGCAGCTCGGCCATGGCCTTCTCCACAGCGTGGTGGGGGGCCAGGCCGACCCCCGAGTCTATCAGCCTCTTCATCAGCTCCAGGGTGACGCGGTGAGGCTCTGCCAGGGTGATGCGCACCTGGGAATCAGAACCAGAATTAGAATATTTGATTTATCCCGGGCGATTGTGACAGGTGCTACATTTTAGAATAACAAATTTAAATACTTTATATAAACATTAGAAATAAAATGTGAAGGAAAATATCAAATAAACTAAAGATATTCAACATATGGAGATAAAGTTAAATTGATAAAAGATCAAATAAAAAATGGTGACAAGTTAAAAGTGAAAATGTGCATTATGTCCTACAATATAATATACAGTGGTATATTAGAATTTTAAGATAAAAAACACTGAGTTTCGCAGTTAAAAAAGGTTGATGGTGAAATGAGGCCTTATAGGAGCTAAATAGGAGGACAACACGTTTTACACGAGGCTGCAACTACAACAACTATGAGTAAATGCACACAAGCCGTTTGTGCTCTCACCTCATCCAGCCAGCGGGCCTGTTGCAGCTCCTGTTTGAGTCGGGGCAGCTCCGGCAGCTCCACATCCAGACCGCTGCCTAGATCCAGCAGGGCCTGCAGCTTGGAGGAATCGGGCATCTCGTCTGACAGCGCCACCTGGGCTCGCTCGTGGAAGTCCTCCACGTTCTCCAGTAACTCCTGGAGGAAGAACGAGGTGGAGGGTTCAGCAGTTATTCAATAGTTTTGATGGTGAAAGAATGGGGATGAGGCCTGGGTAAGCTTCTATGGTATCAAGGGGGACTCACTTTGACTTGTCGGGCCTGGCTGATGATGCAGGGCAGCCTGTAGAGCTGATCCACAAAGGCCTTGAGCTCATCCACCGTCAGTTTTGTACGATTACGACTGCTCTCAGAACGCAGGCGGCTGCTGCAGACACACATGGGAAGAGACATATAGGTTAGCCTTTAATAAATTATTCTAAGTATTAATTTACATTAGTGCATTCTAGGTTATCATTAAATTGCTTTTCTGTTGGATTACATTAAGGGTCCGTGTATGAACATCCACTGACCTGTGCCTTTGCTTGCGGCTGAGCAGCAGCTGAGCGACTGAGGAGCACGTCTCCGCCTCTTTGACCATCTCCCTCAGGCGACGGAACAAAGCTTTCTCGGGGTACTTCCTGTCCTCTGCATCCTCCAGCAAGACCTTGAGCTCAATAAGATCTAGGAGACACACAAAACAACCATGCAATGGCGGAATAGAAGTATGCAACATGTACATATCCTGTAGTGCGATTTAAGTGTAAAACCTTTCTTGTTTTTCTGGTCGGCAGCCAAGCCATCGCTGACCCTCTTTGCCCAGGTGTCGTAAGACTGAGCCCGGATCTTGACCCCGTACAGCATGGCAGGAAACTCCTCCAGATCATAGCGATACCTGAAACACATCGAGCACATGTCAACATCATAATATGGTTTATGTGGTGGCCACAACAAACATTTCCTGACTATCTGCTGAACATATTTAGTGTTATTACACGGCTTGGTTAAATACTAGTTTCTTATTGGTCAATTTGAACATTCAGCAGTCTGCTATTTCTCTATAGCAGTGAGGACACTCATGTTAATCCGCAAAGCCATGTAATAATCGGGATAATGTGCAGCGAGCCTTTCATTAATGAGTAAAGAAAACTTTTAGGATGATTCAGGATCCTGCTCTCATTGTCGGGGTTCTTCTCCCTCACTTATTAGACACTGTGCAGCATTGTAGCAAACCAACATCCCTTACCGGAGACACTTGTTGCCGAGGGCACAGTCACAGAGATCTGCTGCGTGCGTGAGACACACCAGTCTGTCGGGGCTGCAGGGGCAGGTCAGAGCAGACAGGAAACACGTCGTCTTGCACTTGTAGCACTGGCGTTCATCGTCTGGGAGAAGTTCAAACACCTCCTGCTCTGAAGACAAAATCCCCTGTAGAAAGAGAACAGATTATGCCATCACTGGGATGATACAAAGTAAGGACGTCCCGATCAGGTTTACTTCCCCCTGATTTAAGATTCAAAGTGAGATAACAGCCATTCAGCAACACCTTAAAACATGCATAAATTAAGCATAAACAAAGAAAAGACAATTACCATTTCCTGAACAGCCTGTCTGAGTTTAGTCTCCTCCTCCATCATGGCTCCTATTTCCTTGCAGACAGCGGCAGCCAGCTCCACGTCCAGACTCTCTGGATCAGCAGCCATCTTGCAGAGCAGCTCCTCGTGGGAGAAGACGCAGTAGCGGTGGAGGCGTCGGTAATGGGATACACACTGACGACCCATGGGTAACTACGGAAGGGCAAAGATAAACATTTAAAAACTTCTCTCAAGTATTTCTATTTAAATGGGGGCAGTATTTGCTTTGCTCTCACCCAGTCCGCGGTGCAGAAGTTGACGGCCTCTGCGAAGTTGTAGCCCTGATTGAAGCCGCTGTGATAGGCCCTGGGGAAGGTCACCACAAACTCCCCTGCACACTGATTGGTCCTGTACACCTGAAGGGGGGAATATACACACAATCAACATGGAGCCAATATTTAATTAGATATGATAGAGTGAGCAGAACAAAGTGTGTAAGTATCTTAAAATTGTGTTTGCCACAGATCTTATTTTCTGCAATATTCCAAATCTAATGAAAAGATCTTATTGATTTTGGTCAAGGGAGCCTTTGTGATGTTAACTTGCGGACCAGCCTACAAAAATACATCATCCCTGCACCACTCTATATCAACCCCACCAAACAGACTACTCACAGGGACACCGTGCTCCATGAGGACGTTGGGATTCATGATGGTGACCAGTTGATGGAGGAGGTCAGGCTGGGAGTCAAACAGCTCCGGAGCCAACTTTTTCATTACAGCCTCCAGCTTCTCCGCTGCAGAGGCCGGCACGCCGTACCAAGTCTTCGGCTCACCCCTGGAGGAGAAAGGGAAAAACGAAAGATATAAACTTGTGAATAAGGTTAGAATGGATAATTAAAAATATAAAAAAAGTATATCACTGTATTTTTTGAATGTCAGCCTATTTTTGTATGTCCTTATTGTATAATTTGTATATACCAGTGCAGGAAGTTGATGGAGTAACTCCAGTGGTCCTCGATGTGCCAGCAGAAAGAGGAGAAGCACATGCCCACGTAGAGCCAGGGCACCTTCATACCCGAGATGTCCACATTGATGTGTGTGAGCACCGACTGCTCCAGCACCGACATGTTGTTCAGGTTCCAGCCCGAGTTGGCATAATCCTGACAGGAGAGGAAACAGAGGGCTTTCTTTAGCTTTGGGGCAAAAGTCACGTTTTTACCTAATGGAAAAAGCTTTTGGTGAATCTTTATGGGAGTCTGATCAGTAAAAAGTCCCAGGTAATGCATTTTGGACACAGGGGAAACCCCACCAAAAGAACCAGATATAAAACTATTAAAACAAATCAATAAAGTAATGAAATTGGCTTTTATTTAAGCTTAATGTGATATGCAATAGAGATGCCCCTATTATTATCAAGGGTGATACACAGGCAGTTAAAGAGAGATAAACAAACACTAATGAAAAATTATTGTGGATAACAGCAAACAGATACATAATGAATTATCATAAGTACCTTAGATGTCATATCTAACTGGAGGGAAGATAGTAAAGTTGTATACCTCACCCATTTTACCCATCTATTGTCAAAGATATGAACTATGAATTGATTATTTCTATTATAAATAAGCTCAGATTTTCTCAGGCCAATTGGAGCATCCTTAGATTCTACCCTTTACCCTCGAAAATAACAGTTTGGATTCTGATTCATGTGAAAAAATACAAACCAAGTCAAGACTTTAGGAGTTTACGGAAATATATAATACTAATCTTCTCACCTCTTCATCTCCCAGTAGCCTCCTCTTCCCGTCCCTGACAGGAAACCCGCTGCCCACGTCTTTCGAGCTGATGTCAGCGCCGTACTCCACGATGACGTCCTCCTCGATGCTGCTGACCAGGCGCCAGAACTCTTTCTCCACCAACTCCGTGGGGACCATCTGGAGGGACAAAGCAGAAATTATAAGAATATCTTTCCTCCTGTAAACGAGAGAAACCTCCAATTGTGGGACAGCCAGATGATTGAAGCACACATGTTCTGTGTGGATTTGACATACATGAACAGGCATGTTGAAGTAGTCCGACTTGAATTGGTCAGCCATTTCTCCGAAGCTCTGCAGAGAGTACTCCCTCCCCGCCTGCTCAAAGCCAAAGGCCTCTCTGGGCTTACTGCACTCCTGTCAGGGGAGATGGACAACACTCATTATAGTAGGAAATTAAACTGCATACAGCAGAATGACAACACTTTATTTATCCCAAGGGAAATTGGGTTTTGTGACAGTTGCTCTATTTTGGAAGGAAAAAAAGAATACAAATATTTATTAAAAGATTTGACATTTAGGTAAAATGTCAAATAAAATATAAAATAAAACTGGATAAAATATTTATATACACATTTCTTTACATTCTTCTTCTTCTCACATTTAAATTAATGTGCAATTCCTTGTATACATGCTACTTATACTTCCCAAATGAAGATCAAAAAAGCTAGTTAAAGTAAAAATGTGCACATTGTACTACAATATAAAACATGTATATTACAATTAGGGATCGACCGATATGGCTTTTTCAAGGCCGATACCGATACCGATTATTAGTAAACAAGGAGACCGATAACCGATATTTGGAACCGATATACATTTGCAGTAAAATCAGAAAATCTTGGTGTCAAAATGTCGAATAACACAACTTCTTTGAAATGCCTTTTTATGTTTAATGAACTTTTCAACATCTTAAAACTGGTTTCCTCTCTGTGACCCTGAGTAAAGTAAATGAAGTAAAAAATAAAATAAAAACTACTAAAACTTGTTCTGAACTTCTGATATTTGAGTCTCACTCATTTAGTAGTCCCAATTCAGCAGCACCAGATTGTGGTGCAGAAAGCAGAGTTGCTGCGAGGCTCCACTAGCAGCCGTCACAGTCCCAGTCGTCCCAGTTTCTCCGCTGCGAGACGCTACCCCACTACCCCCCCCCAGGTCCCTTTGTAACTGGGAAACTGATAGAATTGGATCATAAGATCGTGGTGTTTTTGCAACTTCAGCATAGGGGATTGGGATGTTTATTGAACTTCGGCTTTCAACTGATTTACCTTCGAAACACCGCTCACTGCTGCTGCTTGCCTCTGTCTGTGTCTGCGTTCTTCGCACCTGCCTGTAATCTGAGAAGGTCCCGCCTCTCTGGCTGGCTGCAGCCCGGAAAATCTTCAGTGTTGATTGACACTTCAGTAATAGCCTATCAGATAGCGCTGTGGGCTGGACATTGCTCGTGAACAGTGGTGACTGCAGCCAGAGAAACGGCCGCATCAGAGCCAAAGTTGTATCGGCAATTTGATTTAAAAAAAAGGCCGATACCGATAATCTGTAAAATGCGGAATATCGGCCTCGATAATCGGTCGACCCCTAATTACAATATATACTGTGGCAGATTAGAATTGTTAAGATATTAATACATAATGGATGGATGAGGGAATTTGTAAGATGAATACAATCGTAAATCGGGAACATTTCTGTGTGCGACTGTGCGTGTCAGAAAATGATCAATAAACATGTTTAATCTTTCTTTAATAATTTGGATTGCCCCCTCAAGCTTTACCTCAGCAACACACTTAGGGCAGCGCCAGTCCCCCTTGGGCACGTCCTGCAGGGGCGGGATCAGACAGAAGGTGTGGTAGCTGTCGTCACATCCGTCACACAGCAGGAGGCGGTCCTCCTCATCGCCCCGCCCACACACCAGGCAGAGGTACAGGTCGATCTGGGGTATCAGCACCCCGAAACAAACAAGAGATGGTCACGCATGTGGATAGAATGAACGCACTGCCTTTGCACAATCTGTTTTCTCTTTTACCGCCATCAAACATTGGAATATGCTTCCATCTGATCTTAAAACCTGCGCAGATTTTCACACTTTTCCCTCAAAGTGCGAGAACATTTATTTTTGGCAACCAGTCTTGCCAACATTAATTTTACTGTAATTTGAGCTGTTAGTTGAAATGAATTGTAACATTTTACAATAAAGATATATAATAAAAAAACATGAACTGTCAGGAAAAATGCCAAACACACTCACAAAGTTGACCTCCAGGGTCTCCTTGCGGGGTCGCATTTTAATGGCGAAGGCCTGGGCTTTGAGGTGACGCTGCTTCCTGCTGAATCCGTCATCTAAAAAGAAGGAAAGTGCCGGTTAGAGGATAGGAACGTTCATAGTATTGTTGTTTTCCTGCTCTTTGTTTGTGATAAATACAGGTCAACAGAAAAGCGAGCCTTACCAGCTGATAGAATTCCCAAGTTGACCATCTTGGGACTTGTGCTGAAGATCTTTAGGCCTTTAGGCTCCTTGTTTTCCCTCTGGAAGAAAACAACAACAGCAGAGTGAGAAACAGCTAACCAATCAGAGAAGACTGGGCTCTGCAGCACAGGCAGTATGAGAAAAATAAAGACTACAGAGCACAAGAAGGATGCATTGATTTATGTTTTAAAAATGTAAAATCTCTACCTCAGATTTAAGGCGCCTGGAGCGTCTCTCAGGCAGGAGCCTCTCTTTGGCCTGCATCGCATCCCCGTCTCCATCTTTCTCATCCTCCTCATCCAGCTCCTCTTCCTCCACCGACTCCTCACCGACTCCCTCGTCCACATCTTCCCCATCATCACATTCCTCATATAGCCGCTGGATGCCCTAATTGGAGAAAGAGTGAAACCAAATGAGGGTTCTGGAAACATTTACAAATGTCTCTATTGTAGGTTTTGAAGAACAGGGTTTTTATTGTTGGGATATCTTGCCTAGAGCTGTTTGAAGTGAGGCCAAGACTTACATTTGAGAAGGACACTGAGAACAGCCAAATCGAAATTAGCTCAATGGTTAACAAAAAGTCTATTAACCAGATGACAACACGCACTCACAAAACAACTTTCAAAAATGTTTGTTAACGTTAACACACTCGCAATGAATCTGGAACCCTTTACATGTCAAATAAATCAGCCCATATTAATCCCATTACCAAGTTTGTCCCCAACGTCCTCAGGTAATCAACCACATTGTAACCGCTGTGTTTTACGTATGAATGTGTGTCAGAGCTCCTATACTGAGTTAGTGTTAGCTTGTTAATCGAGCAGCACTCACAGTGAGCGTGGCCCCCGACTGGAAGAGTTCGTATGGATAGAGGATCCTCTCGTAGTGGGAGCGCAGCAGGGAGCCGGTGCCTTTCCCCGCCGGGAAGCCCATCCTGCCGGCCACCTTGGACCACCTCTTCTCTTTGCACACCGCCTCAAAGCCGCCCTCTGAGGACACAGTCTGAAACAAATAACACTTCTTATGAGCAATATGTACTATTTTACAATTGTTGTTACTGGCTGCCTGTCACTTCCTCTGTTATACCTTAGTTAAAGAGACAATTACTTAGGTGCAATATACCCTTTCTCTGCAATGTATTCATGTTATTATTACTTCAACAGTTTTATATGATCACTTAGGTTCTTAAAAATGCTGCCACTTACAATTTCTTACCATTCATTTATAGTTGATTGTATTTTATTAACATGTGCCGCCTCTTTGTTGAATATGTGAGCCTACTAACTTCACATTGTGCTCTAACACTTATAAAGGATTTCTGATTCTGAAACACCAAAAGGGCAGTTTTGACGAGCATCAGGGAAGGAGTTCAAATCAGCAAAGATTAAGGAAACTGGCACTGTTATATGATCAGACAAAAAAACAATGGAGCATTCAAAGAAAGTTGCTGTATTTCACCTTGCTGAGCTGATAGAGGTCCAACACTTTTCTCTCCACATGAGGGAATCTGGTCTTGGATCCCTGCAGCTCCCAGAACTTTGCGATTTGATCCAGGAAGTTGAGTTTAACCCTAGTGAGGGCCTGGAAAATTAGAGGAGAGAGGACACTTGTCAGTGCACTTAATTGTTTCTTAAGGCATATTTTCTCCTTTTGGGGTATATTTATTGAGTCTTTATTGTCTAATCCTGTATTATGACCTTCATATGCATCAGTGTTAATGGAAAATAGACCACGAAAATCACATATCTCAAAAGGAAAACTGCACAAGTCAGTAAATCATATCTAAATATGTAAAAACACATTCTGAAAGTTCCTAAGACATGCCTTTAATGAAGGGTTGCTGGCATGATACATCTTCTTGGCAGACTCACCTCAAGCTCATTCAGTCTCTGCACTCGCGGAGTGAAGCGGAAGTTGCGTACATCGCAGGCAAACGGAGGCTGCCAGTCCTGATAGACAAGAAAAAAGAATCCTTAACAATGAGGAAATGAGAGCACTTGATAGAGCAGAACATATCTAATTAGTGACTATATATTACCCATCGTCATACTGTCAGAAAAGTGCAGTCAAGTCTTTTTTTACGGGACCTGTGCACAAATACTGCAAGAAGTGTGTTCATGTTGGTAAGGTTTTTGATAATTATGGTGTTGTTATGAGACATTTTCAGTGAACAAAGCATGTGACCAAATAACTCTATAACATCTGAAGTATGCTCATGCCAGGTCACTTGCTGCTATGTGTTCTTCTGGTTCTTGCAATAACTGACTCTATTTATGATGGCCAGTAGTCAAAGACATTTTTGAGTAAAAGGTTATGTGTAAAACACTACAGAACAATTGCCCTGGCTAGGATACTTTGAGAATAACAACTTTTCCTCGATGCTGACAATCAATTTGGTTTTAAATGTGAATGAGGCACAGATATATGTATATATGCGGTTATGGTAGTTTTTAGTTCAGAGGATGGAAGAAACTACAAAACGACAGTGTTTATTTGTTTCTGGAATACGTTCAAAACTTTTGATAAATGTTTTTGTTAAACTAAAAAGCAAGGGGACCCTATATTTGTTACACATATTGCACTTTTTTATAATAGCAGCAAACCATGCAGCTTTCATCTGTAAATAGATGACCTTTCTATGAAGTTAAGAGTGTTATAATGGATGAATGTTTGGGGGAAAGTGATATTCTACCATCTGATTTGGTATAATTAGATGTCCTGTCATCTTAATCTACTAACAGCAATTGCTCATGTGTGCAGTATTGCTGTCTACAGTCACACACCCTAACAGTGAAAAGTCCTAGAAAATGTAAAGGTGCTAGTGTAACCACAGTATTTAATAAGGTATAAATATGGGTTTTAATGGTATGACAGCAGCGACAGGCCTGTCTGTGGCCCAATGTCGCATCCTCAAAGCTAATGTAATAATCACTCTGCTGTTAACTTAGCTAGCCATGAGGAAAACAAACAAAGACATTGTAACCGGAACTGTTGAGTTTACTTCGTCTTTGGCCAACTTTCATGGGAAATAAAGGAACCCATTGTCACTTTAGTACAAAATGTGTTCCGTTGAGTGCAAATAAATAAAGCCTTATATGACCTCTATTAGATTAATGGTAACTAGTAACGTCGTTGCTTAAGGCCCAAGCAAACCACCACTCCTTACTTAGGAGCATATGAGGCACATCCATGCATAATGGAATACAATCTCTTTTTTAAATGATATGTGAGTTTACCTCGGGGGGTCGGATCTTGCAGATTCCCGTTTTCTCTGCAATGGGTCGGATCTTGTTGATAAATCCTAAAGGATCCGAGAAATCCTCCCAACTCGGCTCAAAAACGGGGCATTCCGGAGGGGGGACGAACTCTGCAAATGCAGACATGTTGGTGTGGTGCAAGTGAAACAGTCTTTAAAAATAATGTGTAATAAAAAAATGGTTGAGCTTAACAGTCCATGATTAAGTTCCAATAATATCCGTCTTTGGGAACTTCCTCCATCATGATCCTTCAAATCTCCCCAAAAAACGAATCAATGCAATGACAGGGCATCCCGATCACTTATCATATTCCGGTTGAAAGTGAATGCCAAAAAAAAAAAATACAACAACCGAGCTGCTAATGATCAATGTTTCCCATCATCCGTCAACAGCGGGCCGGGCCAAGCCGGGGAGTCTTCAGCTCCACCACTCCCCTACCTGAGACGGAGGGCAGGGTCACTCCAAAACACCATCATTTCTTCCCACATACATCCTCTATGCAGGGCCAGGGAGGATCACTGAATTTGAAAATAAGTTTGTAAACAGAAGCACCCGTCTTGATAGTTAACGTCACAATGTAGGCTGCGATATTATGTCACGCAAGCTAACATTGCTATTGCTCCGTCTATGTACCTGGATAATGCATGATTTCTTCGTGATGCTTCATTTCAAACAAAGTTATCCACGGTTGGCTTAGTCCCGACGATAGCTGGGTTCATTCGCTAACGTAACCACGCTCCTTCCTTAATAAACTACGTCCACGTCTCTGAGCACCTGATAGCTAATGTACCAGACAAGCTGAACCACAACAAGGAGGAGGCTAGTACCAAGCGTACATTGTTGACTGGTGTGTTGACTCCAACCCCCATTCATTAAAGCAATGGAAAACTAGCATACAGCTAATTTGCTAAAAGCAACTTAGCCACTGCTGCTCATTGCGCAGCTAACATTGACGTTAGCCGAGATAGTCGACTCAACAGGACATTCACTGGGTTAATCGGAATCAGAAGGAAAACACGCTTTAGTCCTTTTGCTTTGTTTTACTGGGTGTCATTTTCCGTATAATTTACCGTCGTCTGTACGTAGTGTATCCGCATTAGCCGTCGTGCTAGCTAAAACTAGCCAGGCTGGAATAGCTGTTATGGTGCCTTCAGTAACACTCGGAAACCTTTTTACTACTTCCGAGTTCGCTGGTTGTATAAAAGGCAACATGCACCCACTCGCACAACTAACAACGGCAAATGGCTGCTGTTAAGCCTTGAATCAGAAAAACACAAGGGAAACAATGACAATAAGGACCTTAATTAGGAAAACATTTTGCAACCAAACGCTAATGTGTTGTTGCGTTACTTTCTATCGGCATGACTCTAATATTTCCTACGGCACGTCAAGGTAGCATTATTTATAAATGCCAGGGTTTCGAGGATTTTATATTCAGTATTTGCTTTCATAGTGCCCTGTTCATGAATACCACATTGTTACAACAATACAATACAAATTGGCAATTGTTCTAGAGCAAAACATTTCTAAACAGTTTTCAATCATACATTGTTTCCTCTACTTCTCTCTCAGACAAGAAGCTGTATCATGAAATAATGAAAATCTGTTCTGCTTTAATGAAGTTGCTTTAATCAATAAAGTTGTATACCAGAAATGTTTCATAAAATGTACAATAAGAGTCCTACTATCAAAATCATGTTCAAAATAAAGCACAACACGTTGTAAAAAGCAATCAAGTCAACAAGCCAATTTATTTGATCACATTTAAGTGAAGTCTTGACATCTGTTGCATCTAGTAGTCATCATGGAATGGATACTCTGGGTGATCTGACCACCTGTTGAGTAAAAAAACCGTAATTATGTATTTATAACACTAACCAAACATCAGTATGCATTGTTAAGTATGCTCTATACTCACATGAGAAGCTCTACAAATCGAATATTCTTGTTCAATCCTTCAATTGCCTTCATCTCAGCCTCGGAAAGAGAGAAGTCGAATATCTGCAGGAGTTAGAAAACAGATCAATGGCAACATGATAGGATGAACTTTCAGAGGTTATTTTCCGCATGGTGAATGTGCCATGCAAACAAACCTGAAAGTTTGTTTTAATGCGGACAGGGTCAAAGCTCTTGGGGATGACCACCACTCCTCTCTGCACGTTGAACCTCAAGGCCACCTGGGCTGTTCTCGTCTTATACTTTTTAGCAATCGATGCCAGGAGTTGATCCTCCAACAAAGGTGGGCATTTTAGGTTCACCCTGTTGAAATAAATGATATAATACTATGACACAGCACATTTTATGTTTAAGGTTAAATACAAATATATAGTTCAAAGGTCATATTTGTGCATTAAAGCTTAGAACAAAGTTACATTTGATAATAAATGTGATTATTTTGATTTTCTCTTAGATTTAAAAGGCTTTATTGGTTGAATATACTGAGTCTCAAGCTCCTTGAGCAATGCAACATACAATATCATTCACATAAAAGTAAAAGAAAAAAATATTTCCCATACCATGATGCATCTCTAGATGTCCCCAATGGACTGTATCCAACAATAACGATATTTTGCTGCCGGCAAAACTCAAGCAACTTGGGCTGAGTAAAATAGGGATGACATTCAACCTAAAAAAAAAAACAGAATTACTTTTGAGTATTAGTCCTGTATTTATGTCCCAATGTTGGTAGTCTATGTGTTTTGCATATAGGTCACTGACATAAGGGCATTTTCTTGGCTTTGTCAGATAGTCCATAGTTTAATGTTCTTTTTATTGGATTTGCCTTTTCCCCAGAACAAATATGCGTTATTATCCTGTCTGTACCTGGTTGCACACAGGCTTGTGTTTTAGCCCAGGTTTGTTGAGGATCAACTCCAGTTGTCTCTTATTGAAGTTGGAGACTCCAAGAGATTTTACCAGCCCTGCGTCTTTGCAAGCCTCCAAAGCCTGTCAAAATAAAAAAAAGAGAAACCAATTAGACTTTGAGCAGAAATCCTTTAGACACTCACAACACAAGATATGAGCGTCATAAAAGTTTGCTGTCCTTGAGCAGATAAGGTTGGAGAGGACATTTTTAAGTGTGCACAGCTAAAGTAAAGTCCGTGTTTACCATAAATCATTCACCAACAAGTCTCACCTCCCATGTAGCACAGAGATCTGTCTCGTGATAAATGTACTGTCCGTTCTCATCTTTGGGATAAAATGTATCTCCTGGCTGCAAAAAATAAATATATTATAATAAAACAATTTTTTTGAATGCAGTCTTTTACAATCTCAACAAATCTTTTATTAAATGCACGAATACCTTGAAGGCTGTGGGCATTTCTACAATATAGAGGTCAACATAATCCAGCTGTAATGTCTTCAAAGTTTTCTCCAAAGCGGGTCGAACCAAATTCGGGGGATGGAATGTGTTCCACAGCTTAATAATCAGTACAGATTAACAGTTAATAATTGTTGCGATAATGTATCAGTGGTAATGAAGGTTGTTTTGGGTAAAAGTTTTCAAACCTTTCCACAGTAGAAGATGTCCTCTCTCTTCACAGTTCCATCTGCAATTTTCTCCCTTATAGCTTGTCCCACCTCATGTTCATTGAAATAGACTAAAGCTCCATCAAAGTGTCTGTACCCTGTTTCAATAGCCAGTTTGACTGATTCATATCCAGTTCCTTTAGGGGTCTATAAAACAAATAAAAACACCTTGAGTAAATAATACTTTTGAAGAAGTGACAGATGAATTTGTGTTCATGACTTGCAGGCAAAATATGAATATATGTCCTACAAGCAACCTAAATAATGTGTCTTACCGTGCGGGGATCCCCATAAGTTCCCAGTCCTATCAAAGGTATGCTGTTTCCATCACTCAGAGGAACAGAGTGGCTCTCTGCTGTTAAGTCCATGCTCAACAAAGAGCGAGTCTTCAAGGCTAGACCTAGTGCTGCTGTCAGTGTATTTATATGAAGACTCAGATTAAATATGTCCAACATTTAACATGTAAGTGACTGTTATCTTACTGCTCTTTGGTCAAAACAAGAGGCTCCTCCTAGTCCTTTTTTGCTTAGTATCCTCCCACATGAACTGGCTTCAATAAAGTGTTGGTCCCTGAAGGCAAAATACTGAGTTGATACAAACTGTATCTGTTATTTTTACTTTTCGTTTAAAGGTAGGGTAGGTACATTTGAGAAACCGGCTCGATATCGCTAGGCAGGCTAAAATGATTGGTCGTGCTTTTTACAGTATTACGGCTTCCACAGATGACATTTTTTTATGGATTTTTTGTCAAAGCACTTAAGATATTCATTGCTATCGGCTACCTTTAAATTCACGTCTAGTTACTAAATGTTCTCAGACAGAATGATGTTGCCTTAACCATTGTTGGCAATTATCATTTGGATTTTTAGGTTTGTAATTCCCATGCTATACTTCCCCTTCGGTCTGCCACACTTTCTTAAGACTGCAATGTAAATTATACCTAGTTGAATGAATCCCTCTCGTCTGGCCATTTTTCAATGGATGTAATATTACTTTTGATTGGCTGTGCCCCTCTGCTTCCTTTGTATTTTTCATATTGTGTTCTTGCTATTTAGTTTGAACTGGGTCAGATCTTGATCTACATTGCTGTCCTTCCAGCTGGAAATAGATTGATTCTGTTAAATGCTTAACTCTTTCTAACACAACTTTGGTTTAAACTTGTAGATTTGTTCCTTTCTTACCAGAAGGTGATTAAGTGTGGAATTTCTTAGCACCGTGAATTGATTACCAAAAGTGCATTATATAAGACAAATTTTTCGAATGTTTTGCACTAACATGTTTCAAACATTAGAAAAAAAAAACCTTAAAAAAAACAGAGAATAAAATTAGCAGCAACTAAACATATTATATAACTAACTTAAGCAATACAACATAAATGAAATCACGGGCACGAACCCGCCGCCCTTTCTAATAATTATGACAAAACAACAGTATCCGAGAGATAAACCACAATATAGTCACATGTAAATCTGGAATTTTGCCTTTTAATGGCTTTTTCTCAGAAGGGTTTTTGGCCTCAATCGGGCACTGTAGCTTTAAAATACCGTAGTGCCGTCTGGGTAGTATGTGCTAAGTGTTTTGAGGTTTTGAGCAAAGAATAAACAGATGGTCGCCTTTTCTATGGACATATACGCTTCAAAATACTATGTATGTAACGTAATTTTAATTTACAACCGACTTTGCGCTGTTATATTTCCCCTGTTTGAATAGGAAACGCCGCAAACTGGGGACTCCCTTGTTTATCGTCTGTTTTATATGTGCAATAAAATGAGCTACATTGCTAATGTAGCATTGTAGACGGAAACAATTAACAGTTACACTCCAACTGTTATTGCTAAGTTAAAAACAAACGGCTTTGAGGGATGGAACCACTATGTCTTTGATGTGTTAAGGCATAGTATTTATATTCCTTATGTGGCTTGTTAAGTCAGTAGGATATCCTTTGTTTCCAATCGCCACGCTATACTGATTGCTAGGAAGGAATCGGGCATCAGCAGGGTGGGGGAACATGGATGAGAGTGCCGAAAAGGTTGTCAACGACGACATTGTCATTATCGTGGAAAACGAGGCAGAAAGTTTGCCAGCCGAGGAAGAGAGGCTGAAACAGCAAGGCACCTTCGGGCTCATGGATACCTGCCCCATCTGCAAGTTGAGCTTCCACAACAGAGAGCCCAAACTACTACCATGTCTGCACTCTTTCTGCAAGAGGTGTCTCCCTGCCCCCTTCAGGAGTGCTGATCCAAGACGTGATACGCAAGGTCAACTCGACAACAACAAATCATGTGAGTAAAGTATTGTAGCAACTCTGATACCAGTTTTGATGATTGCTGTAACTGTGACAGAGAAGCTCTTTATATCTAGAAATGACACAGATTGGGCTAGCTAGCAGAAATGTAAGTTATTGACAGTCTAAAAATAGTGTCCATTTTTTAAAATTGGGTCCGGATGATGTGGACAATAGTACATTTCAATATCTTTTGACTTTGATATCATATGGCATAGGTTTGGGGGTAATTGTTGTTGCTGTCAGGATATTTATACACACCAGACAGCTGAAACAGCATTTGAGACCAGCATACACTTTTATGTATTATGTAACTAACTAACATCTTGTCTCAAATACAAAGTCAATACCAAAACACAGCCTGTCTCTGTGTCAATATCATAGCCTGAGGGATTACTTTTTTGTCTTATGTCACCCAGCTAATTAATGTTGGCAGATGTGAGCTTTAATAGTGGATCTTGTCTCTTCAACAGTGGGTGCCATACGATGTCCAGTATGCAGACAGGAATGCTGGGAGATGGACATGTTGGACAATTTCTTTGTCAAAGATTCTGCTGAGATGCCGAGCAGCACCGTGGAGAAATCCAGCCAGGTTAGACCTCCCTTTACTCTCCTCCCGACTGATTGTTTATATGACACCCCTCTTCCCAAACTACAATGTATTTATTTTTGGCTTTTACAGTTGTGTATGAGCTGCGACGACAACACAGAGGCAACAGGTTACTGCGTGGAGTGCGTGGAGTTTCTGTGTGTGACATGTATCGAGGCGCACCAAAGGGTCAAGTTCACCAGGGATCACACCATACGCCAGAAAGAGGAGATGTCTCCAGGTAGTGTGTGTTTGCACGCCATTAAGTCAAGAAATACTCTGCAAAAAGAAGAACTTAAACCAATTTAGATGTTGCCTGCTGTACTGTAGCGATTATGAATTGCATTGTTGCAGTCAACTGTAAGCTATACAGTGTGTTTCCATGACAAACCTTTTACCTAGTTGCTAAAAAAGGATAATTCATTGCCTTTAAAACATGTAGACAAACTGATCAGTCACTTTCTTTTGGTGTTTTAAAGCTAAACAAATTATTCTAGACACCATAAGCTGACTCTTTGTTTCCCTATGTTCTTAATTTCCCCACGTATGTTTCTCAGAGGCAGTAGTTATGTCCACACAGAAGCCCGTGTTTTGTGATGTCCACAAGCAGGAACCGCTGAAGCTGTTCTGTGAGACATGTGACCGGCTCACCTGTCGGGACTGTCAGCTGCTCAAGCACAAGGATCACAAGTAAGCGGATTTTGGACTAAATTGAACCAGGCCAAAAACATTTGTCATAAAAATGAACTTTCAGGAATAATTATACTTTTTTTTTTGTCCAGTTACCAGTTTTTGGAGGATGCGTACAGGAACCACAGGCAGTATCTGGAGAACATGACGCAGCAGTTGCAAGATAAAAGAAGGACCATCGCGGAAGTGTCCAGCTGTATCAGCAACGGGTAAAATCCTGTACAGCTTGAACTTAATTAGAGGATCGACATTTTTCAGACTTTAAAAACGTTCAAGATCATTTGTATATTGTATAGACTGATGCTTATATCCAAATTCCCTTCCACAGACTCCAGCAAGTTGATGAGAACCGGAAGTCGGTCACTAATGAAATAAAGAAGTCCATTTGTGGCCTGATCATGGAGATCAACAGGAAGGGGAAGATTCTGGTTAACCAGCTTGAGGTATGTTTAATACGCATTGTTTAGTGGCTTTTAAAAGACCGTTATGACCTTTAGATTGATTATTAATCATGATGCATTTCCACCTAGGCTCTGACTAAGGATCACGAGCTGGGTTTGAAAAAGCAGCAAGACGACGTCAACTCCCTGAGCAGGCACCTGGATCATGTGATCAACTTTACCAAATGGGCCACGGCCAGCCACAGTGGAACAGCCCTGCTGTACTGCAAGAGACTGGTGGGGGACTTTGACTTCAAACGGCCATCTGAATTACTCTTCACTATATCTTATAATCTCCGTTTTCTTTAAAATGCCCCTGTCTTTTTGTTTTCTAGATCCTCTTTCAGATCCATTACCTAATGAGAGCGAGCTGTAATCCTTCAATCGTCCCTCAGAGTTCTGTTCGCTTTCAGTGTCGCTCTGGTTTCTGGGCCACCAATGTAGACCTTGGTAAGACTTACACTTAACCTACTTTATGAGTGACTTTACATGTCAGTGTGCTCTTGTATCTAGGTAACAAGTTAGTTATTTAATCTCCTTCATTTCTTTATCTCGTGTTTTCTGTTTACATAATCTTCTCCTCTTGATTATATTTTTGGTTAAGTAATAACAAAAAACACTAATGGATAATGTTTTTTTCAGCATCTCAAACATTTTTAAGATGCTGAAAAAACAGAGTTGCATTGTGGGTAATGAAGGCACCGAGTTTTGAGAAAGTCTAATGGGTGGAATTGAGAAAAGCAATATCTCTGGTTCATCGTGTCTCTGACAATGGTCGAGTACTCTCCTAAGGCTCTGTGTCTTTTGCTGGCAGAAAGAAAGCCTCCTCCCATCTTCTTTTATGTTGCTATGCCAAAAGTGTCTTGACAGCATACCAGCGCTTTTCTGAGAAGTTGAAATATTTGTTTGACTTGAAGTGCACAGAGTGGTTTCCCAAGGCTGCTGCATGTACTCACTCCGTAAATATTTGAAAAAAATGCTGTTGATGTTGCTCAAACACATACACTATGTTTACACAGGCCTTAAGCTTAGTTTAGTCACAGGCCTTAAGCTTAGTTTAGTCACAGGCCTTAAGTTTAGTTTAGTCACAGGCCTTAAGCTTAGTTTAGTCCCTCACAAGTCCTGCTGCTGATGATTAAATAGCTGATTGTGTGCTTCTTTTCTCCAGGTTCTCTGGTTGTAGAAAGGGGCCCTGGCACCCGGCCGCCCAACCCCACCCTCAACCACCCTGCAGGTCCCAGAGCAGAAGCCCCCCCCGGAGGTATGTCCGCCATAGCTCAGCAGCGACAGAGCACGCTGGCTCAGCTCCAGATGCAGGTAGGACTTTCACCGTACCAATCCATTAATTATTGTTCAATGTTCCTTTACTCTCTGCTCACTGCTTTTAACCATTTACTCTGTCATCTATTCCATTGATAGACATCTGTTGTTCCTCTGTCCAAGGTGGACAAGATTTCACAGCAGCCCCAAAGGCAACCCCCCCCTAACCACTGGTCCTGGTACCAAAATGTCAGACTCCCAGGGCCCCCCGGTCCCCCACCCCCAACCAGACCCATCCACGGAGGGTCCTCCCCCTCCCAAGGCCCCCCAAGCATGGCACAGCCAGGCCGCAGATACGGAAGCTCCCAGCCCAGCACTAGAAGCCCCACCTCCTCCATGCTCCACAACACCGGCTTCCCCTCCCATCAGGTCAGTGCGCAGGTAAAAGATGACGATGTGTCGTGTGAGGAATGGTACTGTATGTTCTGAATGCTAAACTTGTGGAAAGGTTTTGTAGTTTGTGCTTATTCAAGTGTCAAGTACCAAATTGCCCCCATTGGTGTTGTATTCAGCCCACTTTTCTTTTAATTACTTATATTAAACAGTTTTGAAATATTTTTAAGATTCTTTTTTTTTTTTATCGGTATTTTGTTCTCAATAAATGTCTAAATGTTTCACTGAAAAATCTAATCATAAGTGGCCTAATATTGTTTATATGTAGAGGGTCTTTCCAGGATTTTAAAGGCCTACAGTTTCAGGCCCCAAATCCATAAAAAAAAAATCTAAACCTACATTTGTTTGTCAACTTTTTCCTCTCTATGTAGTCTCTGAGAGAGCTGATCCATGGCTCCACCTATCCTCCTAAACCTATGGAGATGTTGCAGGGTGCGTCCCGCTACCCACCGCCTCAGTCTGCCGGAGCAGCTGCACACATGTCCCACCATCAGGTAAGCAGGAGAATGGAGAGGGACCTACTCTAGTCCAACGTGATTCCAGAGAGATAAATAGTTATTGTTTGTTTTTTTGTGTAACTTTAACAAAGCCCTAATCGTTTTTTGTTTCCCAAAGCGGGGCCTAGCGGAGGCTTCCTTCCTGAAGAGGAGTGAGGCAGGTGGATCCGTCCCCTCCATCACCATCTCTATCCCCAAACCCAGCTTCGCTCCAAGTCAAGCTTCAGCAACTATGGACAAAACGAGCACCTTCAATTACATAGCAGCAGGTCATTATTACTCCTCTGATGTAGCAACAGCCATAAAGATCCTGTCCTGTGTCTTCAATTAAAGGGGCCCTTTTATAACCCCCAAATGCATAATAGGGCCCCTTTAATCTTGTCATAACAACTTCGAAACTTAAAATGTTTTTTCTTGTCTTCTCTCAAGTTCAAGCAAGGCAAAACTCCCCAATGGCCAAACCGTCTTCTTCAGACAGAAGCACAGGGTAAGAAAAGATCATTTAATCTTTATCACAGCTTCTCCACTCCTATCACAGTTTATTTTTTAAATATTTATCCACTGTTCTCTGTATCTTTTTATTTTATGTCGTATTAAGGGGAGTTCATTCTAAACCTATCAGTGCTGGACTGGTGTTTCCTTCCTCACTCTGACAGGGATTAAAGACATTATTGACTCTCCTAGCCTTATTCTTGTAGCGCCTGTTCTTAATACGTGCGGCATCTTTTTTTGTGTGTCACTGTACCGCAATGAGTAGAGCCATTTAGGAGGGAGATTATTGCAGTGATAGATGTCGTAAAAATATATTAAAGGTGCGCTGACATTTTCAAACATTTACCATCAAACTACTAATCTTAAAGACCATTTTTACCATCTTAAGTCATGTGTCTAGTGCTGAAGTGAGACACACAATGGTTCTTTTATAAATATTTAGTATATATAGGGAGGCTCAGTGGATAGTGTGCTGGACTTGGAATCAGGGGGTAGCATGTTCGAGTCCCACTGCAGTCAGCATGTCGTTGTGTCCCTGGGGAAGACACTTCACCCCAAATTGCTCCTATGGGGATTGTCCACAGTACTGAATGGATGTTAGTCGCTTTGGATAAAAGCGTCTAACAAGTGACATGTAATGTAATGTAATGTAATGTAATGTATTAAATCCATGCCTGATAGACGCGTGATAAGTGCTACTTTTGATATGTGATTAGAAGCCTACGCACAACCTTGACATAACTTTAAATTGTGTCATGTTTTTGATAGCGGTTGTGTGTAATCTTGTCCTGGTCTACACTGTAATTGTTTCCCTTATTTAACTTTCAATTTGGAATATGTCCTTCTGACACCTATTTATTAAACTTTCTAATATGTATACAAGTGACATGCAAGTGATTTAGTGGGAAAAAATATTAAAATCACTGTCTGGTCTTCCAAACGTCATGTAAACAAGGCCAATGTGTATTTATTTTATTATATCATGGTCATAATTTTCCCTTCTATTTTCTCCGGTAATCTCTTTGCTGAAGGACGACTCCCTGGAAGCAGACTGCGGAGGCTCCAGCTGCTCCACCATCCAAGAGAAGAAGAAGAGCGTCACCGGGGCCAGTCATCGTCATCAAGGACGAACCAGAGGACGAGGATGAAGTCAGCTTCGTAAGAGAATGACTCGCAAGTTACATAAGTCCCAACAAGGTTATAAAAGTTTAGATTGATATATATTGAGAATCGTTTCAGTTAGCATAGTGTGTATAGAGAGGCGAAGTCCCGCCCATCTACTTCCGACCCATGGGACCTTATTTCGGAAAAAGTATGTATTGAAGTCAATGGAGAGAGAAAACTTATCTCTCGATCCCGTTTGAATTGTGCCACGAATTACACATGATGTTTGTCAATCTTAAGAAATGATTTCCATGTCAAAAAAGTTGACAGTTTGTCGTAAAACTGTTGAAATATAAGACTATGAAAAATACGCAACTAGAAAGACTACAAATCCCAGAATCCCGGTCCCGCATGCTGGCTCTTACAGAACCGACTAACTCCCCTTGTGTGTATGGACAGCTCTCAACATGCCCAGAGTAGTGATTTTCACCTCTTTTAATACTTTTCACCTCATTCTGAAAGAAAGAAGTGAAATGTGCCAACGTGACGGCCGTCTTGGTGTGTGGTGCGAGATGGGAGATGTAGTTCATTGAGCGGTTTCACACAAAAAAAAGTGTTACTTCACAGTTTTACGACACATTTGAATTTTTTTTACTTGCAAAATTATCTTTTAAATTGACAAACATCATATGTGTAATTCGTGGCACAATTCAAACGGAATTGAAAGATAATCTTTCTCTCCCCATTGACTTCAATACATAATTTTTCCGAAATAAGGTCCCATGGTCCCTGAAAGGGAGGGACTTCTGTGATGCACTTGCGACACAGCGCCATCTACTGGGATGTCAAGGTTGTTAATGTTTTTTGTCACAATAGATGGCAAAAAGGTATGTAAACATTTAACCTATCAGCTTTTAAACAGTTAATATATTTTTTATTTACAGCTTAATTTCATTTAAGTGTACCATAATACCCTGGTCCAGAATGTCTTAGTTCATTTTGCATTTTGTTTCTTTTTAGCATGTTAATAAATGCAACAGCGTTTTCATCATATTTCTACCTCTACTAAATATGGAGCTTGTCAACGTGTGCAGGAAGATTTCATGTCCTGGAGAAATTTCGGTCAACTTTTTTTTTTATTGAGATTAAAAACAATGGATAGGAATGCTTAATGCAGAATGACATCACTTCTGTTCGAAGGTTATGTAAAATAAAACAAGTTCCGTCAATAGACTCGTGCATAACACAAATAAATATTTATTTCGTAAGCCCATCCCGTAACTCTTAACACAAGGAATTTCCCTATGTTCGAGGCCTATATATTCACATATAAAAAAAAGTGTCATGGTGTCTAACTGCGTCTATCCCACGTCTTGTTTCCCTGCAGGTGCAGTCCAGCCTGCCGGACAGCAGCACCGGGGCTCAGTCGATTCCTCGGCCGCAGATCAAGGTGTCCGTCCCGGTCTCCCTCCCTGCGTCAGAGTCTGGGAAAGAGCAGCATCCCGCAGCAGAGCCAGAGTCTGAGAAGAGGGCGGAGCCGGAGGAAGATCCCAACGAGGACTGGTGCGCCGTCTGTCAGAACGGAGGGGAGCTGCTCTGCTGCGACAAATGTCCCAAAGTCTTTCACCTGGCCTGCCACATCCCCGCTCTGAACGAGTCCCCGAGGTGAGAGGCTATAGATGCACAATTAAATGTTGATAAAAATGCTTCTGCCCACATGAATACGTTTGCAGTCATTATTTCTGCTGTGAAGGCACTTTATCTTGGAAAGTTATTATTTTGTCATAGAGTATATCCGGATTCATAACCACTGTTTCTGTGATTTACAGAATTTTAACATTACATATTTCACTGTTATTAAAAAAATCGAATTCTATCATCACGAATTGTAGAGATTTGTGTTATTAATATTGTTGGGTGTTTCTAGATTTTGTGGGTATATGTTCTTTGAATTACTAAAAACCGTTTGAATGTTTCTTTCATTCAGTTATTATACTTGTCTTTATTTTTTTTACAATAGTATGAATGAAAGAAATGGTAAAAAATATGGTTTTTGAGGAAAATATTTTACAAAAAATGATATTAAACTGCAATTCTTCAGTTTCTTGTAGTCAAAATGGAACAATGTTAGGCCCTGTTATAATGCGTCAGAAATATCACATGTTATAATATGTACAGTACGCAGTATTCTGTCACTGATAATGTAAAATCGGTCTGATGGGTATTGTGATAACCTGTTCTTTAGGTCTTTTACTTTCCTAGCATTGGCTGGTTGTGCAGACAGCCCTTACAGCAGCCACAGACAGAACACTTTTGATCATACTAAGCAGATTTTCTAACAGCTTCTCTTGTCCTGGTGTCTCTTCACAGCGGGGAGTGGTTCTGTTCGCTCTGCAGAGACCTCGCCGCTCCTGAGATGGAGTACGACTGCAAGGGCAAAGACGACCCCGTCTCTGAGGGATTCCCGCCCGCAGAAAGAAGGGTATAAATAACTGTTATTTACCTTTCTGTGCATGATTTCATTACGTAAGCCTGGTTTGTATAGTCAGTCTTTCCACTGTCTCATCAAACATCTCCATGATATGATACATTCAATGTCTGATTTAGTTATTTTTCAATTTACAGAGGTGTGAGAGGCTGCTACTGCGTCTGTTCTGCAATGACTTCAGCACTGACTTCCAGCAGCCTGCTACTCCATCAGTAAGTTACTGTATTTTGAGACAGAAGTCAAAGTTGTGCTATTCCTCTTTGGAAACACATATCAGTACGTTTATATCAGGTGTACGAGCTGATAACGTTATTTTCTAATGTAGGAGACAAGGAGGTACAAGGAGCTGATTAAGACCCCGATGGATTTGTCGATAGTGAAGAAGAAACTGGAGTCCAAGGCGCAGGGAGGTGAAGGCTATAGCGGTCCGGACGGGTTTGTCGCAGATGTCCGGCTCATATTTTTAAACTGTGCGAAATACTACAAGGTAAACACTTTTATAACGGATATCTACGAAAAATGATTGTAATAATAATAATGTATTGCTAAAACTCTCCAGTGACATTTCTTTCTTTAAAGTACATACTCTATCATTTTCTCCTCTATTTGTATGCACTGTCTGTACAGGTGACCTCAGATGTGGGGAGTGCAGGTCTGTACCTGGAGGACTACTTTGAGGAGCAGGTGAAACTCGTCTACCCAGAAAGGCTCTTCCCCGGAGGGAGGGAAGAGCAGATGATCCCCCCTTTGGAGGACGAGATTGAGGAAGAGGAAGAGATGATGGGGGAAGGCATGGCTCCCATTGAAGACGATAAACCGATAAGTCCTGCAGGAGAAGGAATCCCCCCTGTGGAGGAGGACTCGACTGTGGAAGAAACGACAGTTCCAGTTGAGGAAAATAAGTCTGAAACGGAGGAGAAGGAAATGGAGACGGAAATGGAGACAGATGTAACGGCAGCTGAGGAGGGAGACATGCCTCCATCAGAGGAGGCAAAGCAGGACGAGGAGATACCTGTGAAGGAGGCACAGAGCTCTCCAGCTGCAGATAGTGAAACAAAAGACAAGTCAGCTCCCAGCTCCCTGGAAAAGGAGAGCTCTGACCTCCCTACAGACACAACTGAGGATCCCCCGGACACCCAGACGGAGGAGTCGGCTCCTGCAGACACAGCCAAAGAGGGGGAGTGATCACAACAGAGAGGCGCTGTAGAACAAGATGGATGACTTTAGTCTTCCTCAGAATTGGCCCCAGTGGGGACCGACATTTGCTGCAATCAGACACTTTTTTTGAAAAAACGGTTATATTGGCAATAGGAAAGAAGTACTGCTTTACTACATTTAGTAGCAGTCATGCAGTATATGCTAAAGGGATTTTTTTGTTGCTGAAGGTTGCAATTGTAATGTATCATAAACTATTATTTACAGGAATGACGACACGGAAAAGCACACGCATAAGTTTATTGGTTGACAGGATCTCGTTTTCAGATAGAGAAAAGGATTTTGGATTCATTATGCATGCAAGATGTCTTGGTATAAATAGTAATTCCTCCATTTTCAATTGACAGGCTCATGAACAAAATAGGTTTTCTTGTAATACTTTTTATTTTATTATTATTGTATTAATGCTATGTATACTACTTTTAGGGTCGATGTAAATTGCGCTGCTCGGTTGTTTGAGAGCGAAACTTGAATTGCAACTATTATGGAACCTTTTTTGCGTTGCCAGTTTGATGCCTCTTATCCCCCATTCCCTAATAATGTGATATCAAACAGCAGCCTTGTTGGTTTTTATCACTCTTCTGACATTATCACAGTGTTCTCCCAATTGTGTCCTTGCTCTTCTGCAGCATGATTTCATTTCATTTCATTTCAAACCTTTATTTATCCAGGTTGTATCCCATTGAGATCATTGATCTCTTTTTCAAGGGCGACCTGCTCAAGTAGGTTCCACATGAAACATTAAAAACATAAACAGAACAACAAAAAGGACATCATACAGCATCATTACAGGGATTACAATTTACATAACTATCCACATGAACAGCTACCAACAGAGCTTTAAAAACATTTAGTGGCACCAGATTGCTCAGTTTCCATTTCAATTACAGACTATTCCAGGACAGTGGAGCTGCGCATCTAAATGCTATCTTCCCTAAGACAGTCCTAGCAGTTGGCACATTTAATAAAACCACAGCATGCGATCTCAGGCAGTAGCCACTTACAATTCACCGTGAGATCAGGGAGCAGATGTAGGATGGAAGTTTCCCTAACATGGCTTTATATATAAAAATGTACCAGTGACTGAGCCTCCGTACAGTTAGCGAAGGCAAACAAGCCCTTGCATACAGGGTACAGTGATGGGTTAATGCTTTACAGTTTGTCACAAATCTCAGTGCACTGTGATACGCAGCATCTAACTTGACCAGGCAATTGGCAGGTGCATTCATATCAATCAAATCACCATAGTCCAGCACAGGTAAAAAGGTCACAGAGACTAGCTTTTTCCTGGCCTCGAGCGAGAAACAGGACTAATACTTAGGATTATTTTCACATAAGATTAAGCCTAAACTTTTTTTTTTCTAAACCTTCCTGTATTTCCATCAAGAGAAAATAATGAAAACTTCCACTTTATTTGAGATGATTTGGTCGAAGAACCTCGTTTTTTTAAAATTATTTATTGAGGTTAAACAAGACCTGTTTATGAACTCTCCACGGACAAACAATGTTGAGAATAAAAAATACCTGCTTTTACAATATTTGTAATAAACAGGGTTACATGTTAATCTTATTTGTGCTTCGCTCCCATTATTGTCTGTTTTAATATTGTAAGATGCTGGTGCAAGATTGCTTTGAGGGGCCACGAGTTGATATAAAATAAATAGGAAAACAGAAGAAGAAAAGATGTAAACCACACAAAGTTATGCTCATGTTTAACCTCATAACTGTTGGTTGGTTTCCATTTGACATTAGTTCATCATTTTTACATATTCTGAAAAACTGTTTTAAAATGTCAACAATTGGCACTCGGAGATAAAGGCAAATGCTGCGTTCAGGTGCTCCTCGGATGCTCGGTTTTCTGACTTCATTGATCACCGTTCCACCAAATTGCATACAAATTGTGCTATAGCTAGATCCTAGGTTTTCCTTAACAATGAATAAAAAAATCGAGCCAATATCGTAACTTCCTTCTGAAATAAGAAAACATTTATATATTTAGGACACTTTATTTTGTATAATTGTATTTTCTTCCTTTTTACTGTAGACTTACATGTTTAGAGGGTTTATAGACTTGTTTTTCCCGACTTTTCTAAAACTTCGCTTTATCTTCTACCCAGTCAACATCTACTTTGGACTCACTTTGCGCAATTTCGACACAAATAAATCCAATATCGGCCGTGTTTGAATTATTCAGTAGTAGCTCTGACACAGCTCCATCCACCCCGCCCCCTGTGTCGCCTCAGATGTTCTTCACGGAGAGCTTTCACACACACACTCACTCTCACACACCGTCCACCGCTGTCATTCATCCGCCGATCAGTCCATTCATTTATTATAACCGTGACATTAAGAGGATATGGGAGGGAAACATCTAAAAGTCACTCCATGGGCACTTTGGACCATACTTAGTTTTTTTCTGTACGGAGTTCTGCATGGGCAAGGTAACATAATTTGATTACTTTTTGGTGTGTTACTTTTAACACACACCAACATTGAGATATCCAAGCATTTTTTCGCCACGTCTGAACCCATTTGAATTAAATCTGACTTTCATCAGGGGCAGCCATGATTTATTTTCTTAATAATGCCTTTTCTGTGTATTTCTAATCCTTAGATGAACAGGAGTGCTGTCAGGATGGGAGGGATCGGGCCCTGGGAGGACATGACTGTACAATCCTCCCCTTCATCTCCATCTCCCACACCTGCAGGTAAAGCAACACCTGGTTTGTCAAAGGAGAATGTTAGAAATATGACCAAGCAAGGGTCAGCACAGAAGGAATGTGAAGTTTATGTGTATTTAACCGTTAAAAAAGCTTTCCTTTGGGTATTTGGGGTCCGAATGCATCACAAAAGTCTTCAAACTGTGTGGAAATGTGTGATTCCTGTACAAGCTAAGCCACAATTTGCAACGGTATGTTTAAAATCAGGAAACACCCCCAGAGTATGAAGCCCCAAATCATGTCAACATAGTAACTACATAAGTACAGGCGTAAAATGCCCCCCTGGAGCATTTGTAACACTAAAGGGCCCTGTTTGACTGTAAATACATGGAAGTGGTGATTGATAACATAGAGAAACACCTGGTGAGCACATTGAGGTCAGTGGAGGGGACATTCACAGAGGAGAGAAGACTTTTGATCATGGATAAATTAGGCATTTTTAAACTAAATTGCAACGTATTACATCATAAATCCACTTCCAGTCAGTATGTCAATCAATAGCAAGCATTTATTCACATGCTCCTTATCCAGCCGAAGAGAAAAGGGTGCGTTTTGTTCTGGATTTGGTACATTTCTGTCGTTTGTCTGCAGGATCGTCCAGGCGCAGTGCTGTGCAGCAGCAGTAGGAGACCAACTCTGTGACAAAGGCATGACAATGGCCAAGAAGCAAGGGGCCTGTGAGCGGCCCTTCTTCTCAGGACAACCCTGGGAAACCAAGATCTCGAAGGTCCTTCCTAATATCAATATCTTCGACCTTTACACGTCTCCTTGTTCTCACAATACACTTTATAAGTCAATACATAGTGGGAATTGTTTTCCTGACAGTATCGAGATAAGATTCCTACTTTACGACTGCGTCGTCCCCCCCCCTCTTTCTCCTGTTCAGATGTGTTGTGACTGCTGTATGCTCGGCCTGATTACAGCGAGCCGGGCGTCCAGCTGCGAGCTCCAGGGTTTGTTTCTGGAGAGGCAGTGTACGCACACGGCTAAAACCTGCTGTGGCATAAACTCAGCGGAGGAACCCAAACAAACAGGTAATAGATCTTAACAATCTTTTGATTAGCTCCACTCTGTCTTATCATGAAAGAAGAGCTATCCTGGCTGTGTGGGACACTCAAAATAATCAGTACCCTCCATTTACACACACTAGGTGCCAAATGACTTACAGCTAGGTAGGAAAAACTCCCATTTGCTTTTTAGACTTTTAATTTGATTGCAGATGATCTGACCAAAAACAGATAACTTCTTATTGAGACTTATTTTAGACATTTAGACACTTAATGGCTTTTTTGGGGGACCCATTACCTTCTACAGAAGGCTCATGATGGACAGTTTTGGTTTCTCTAAGGATCAAAATTGATACAGCAGAACCAAAGATCTCACATTTTGTATTCCTTTTTAAAAGCTTTGGGCCTACATTACCAGCAATGCAACTCAACCACAGTTCGCTCAGATATGCAAATAGTGGGTACAATCCCATCTTTTTTTAACTTCAAACTTATTATTTTGGGCTTATTCATCAGCCCCAACAGATGATGAGTTATTGGTCATCATTTTAAGGCAATTTATCAAAAATAATTCCATCCACCCTTTGATTCCGCCCCTCTACATCTTTTAATGGATTCTTCCTTTGCCCATGCTTCACCCCTCCAACTAGTTTTTCTGTATCCTGCTGACAAACAGTAATTGAAAATTGGTAGCGTCACTAGAGGCAGAGCCCTGTTCTAATAAACTGGATAAATGGCCTTGTTGTGGCAGCTGTGCAGCAGATCCCTGGGACACAGCGGTACTCGCAAGGCTAATCTGGAGACACCTTGCCAAATGGTGACTCAGGGCCAACTAGTGTTGTGTCTGGTGGTGGCGTTTGTCGCCTAGCTGGCTTCAAGTGAAAATACAACCAAATGTGTGGGAAGGACAGAGCTGCAAAAACATTCCATTTGAGCTGTATTTGTGGACTGTAGTTTTTTGGGGAATTTACCATTAAATCATTTATTTTTATTTTTAATTTGTAATCGTTTATTTAGCAGGGACAATGCACAGTAATGAACACTTAAAACATTAAAATGTGTCAAGCGTAACAGTGCCAGATTTAGCTTTAAGCTAATTTCCATCCGCAGTCCCTCACATAAAACATTTAAGAAAATTACATTTTACAAACATAGCAAAAACAAAATACATGATATGCAAAAAGTGCAAAAGAGCAAGAGCAGCATACACAAGTATTTATGACATGGTAATACAATATAGCAGTAACGACATATAAAGTGCAAGAGAAGATACAAGAGATACATAAAGTGCAAGAGGAGATACCCCTGTGTTAAAGTGCATTTAGAGGTGCTCGCACGTCTGTTTGTTTCTCAACCATTCTTTGAGTTGACCTTTGAAGCTATTGAGAGTTTTAATTATGCTTTATATCCATACCTCCAGTCACAGCAAAGCCTGCAGCCAGTTTTACCACCAAGCCGCCAGAGGGATCGGATGGCTGTAGAGGTTTGGCACATTCATTTCTAAAATGATTTTAGTGATGTATGACACACTGTAACGTCTATTTCGTCACATGTCGTCACTCTCCCCTGATTTCAGACGCCAATTGCTCACAGTGGTGTGTAGGGAACGGCACATGTGCATGCCTTGATGGTTATCAACTGCAAAATGATGGAGTGAGTTGTGTGGGTAAGTAATCTAAATAAAAACCCGGCTTTATTACTTAGAAAATAAGTGATTTCAACTGTTCAATGTTTCAGTCTGTTTATCGGCCCATACTGAAATATCTCAACAACTATTATTTGAATTATTATTTAAAAGAAATATATTACAATATTCACAATCACTTTTCAGGGTGAATTGTAATCAATAGGATTTCTTCTTTTGCATTAAAGGTGGGGTAGGTAAGTTTGAGAAACCGGCTCGAGATACACTTTTTGTTATATTCCATGGAATGCTCTTAACATCCCGATAGCAATGAATATCTTAAGTGTTTTGACAAAAAATCCATAAAAAAATGTCATCTGTGGAAGCCGTAGTACTGTAAATAGCACAACCAATCATTTTAGCCAGCCCGGCTAAAATAACTGGATGGCCTACCTGCCTGTCAGCCTTCCATCGGGGCACAAACTTATCTCGTGACCTCATTGGTCATGTGCGCGTTCGTGTGTGTTGGAGGGGCTCTGTAAGGAAGTAGCTGATTTCTTCCGGCTGTGTATTTTCAAATTCTAGTGCACTCGAGCTGATTTCTCCAAAATTACCTACCCCACCTTTAAATTCTTATTTTATTGTTGTTTTTACGATATGTTGTTCCAATAGTTTGTCATAGTTTAGTTTCCCTATTACATTGTGAATTTTAGTATTAATTAGGTGGAGGCTTCAATCACCACACTGGGTGTTCTGCCTCTTCCTGCACTGTATAGTATAAAGTACAATAAACTGAACAAACTAAATGCACTTATTTTCTTATTTTTAAGTGGATGTCTTTTTTCTCAGATTCTAACGAGTGTCTGACTGGCAATCACAACTGCGTCTACGGCCAAGTCTGCATTAACACAGAGGGTTCCTTTCGCTGTCAGAGGGAAACCAGCTGTGGCACCGGGTATGAACTCAGAAACGACAACGATTGCCACGGTAAAAAAAAATCCTTTTCTAATCCTAACACTTTAGTTTATTCATACCAAGAAATTGTCCTAGAGTTCAGTATTTCAGTATTGCTTCTATCGTTATCTCCTCTTTGCTTGTTCCAGACATAGACGAGTGTACTTTGGGCTCCCATAACTGTGGACCAGACTTTGTGTGCAACAACACTGCAGGTTCTTTCCGCTGCTACCCGAAGGAGAGTTGCCCGATCGGTTACATTCAGGACGCTGTGGGCAACTGTAACGGTCAGTTTAGTCAAAGTCAAAACATTCCTCAGATAAAAATGTAGCTGTCTTAATGTAATGTTCTCTTCAGATGTAAACGAGTGTGTTGCCTACGCCAGTCCATGCCAGCCTGGCGAGACCTGTAGCAACACAGAGGGCTCTTACACATGTCCCAGGAACAAAATCCCCTGTGGACGAGGCTATCATCTGATTGAGGACGGCACGCGGTGTGAAGGTGGATTCTGGCATGAAAAATGATCCAATATGTTTTTTTTGCTGCCACATTGATGTTCTTTTTTCATACGTGTATTTTCCCCTCTTCATGTTACAGATGTGGATGAGTGTCGTATAGGGAATGTGTGCGGCGTCCATGGTTGTGTCAATCTAGTTGGCACGTACCGCTGTGAATGCAGAAATGGCTTCATCTTCAACAGTATCACCAAGCTGTGTGAAGGTACGGTGCAAATTCTTCACTTTATTTTTGTTTCAACTATAAAATGTTATGCATATCAGCTATGAAATCTTGTATTTTCATGTGTTTGTATAAAGTGAGTAGAGGAGAAACAACTGCCTATTCTAGTCCCTTTGGTTGCCCTAGATGTTCATGGATATCTGTAGTACCAATTTCCCATTTAAATTCCCAGTAAGATTTATAGGAAAAGGGGCATCCATAAGTGTTGAATTACTGTTGTGTAAAAGGCAGAATTGTTCCTAAAATAAGTGCATCTGTGAAAAGTAAAAATCATGAGCGATACTTGGCTGAAGGTTATCCAAGTATTACCTGCAAGTGTGTGAAAGAGGCTTCAGACTCTGAGATTCACCGCCCCCTGTGTTCTTCAGATATCAATGAATGCAGGCATTATCCTGTTCAACTCTGCGCCCACAAGTGTGAGAACACAGAGGGGTCCTACAAGTGCAGCTGCACCACTGGCTTCAAACTGACCCCCGACGGTAGAAGCTGTGAAGGTAAAATCTCTTAATTTCAGTCATTTACTAAGACTTATGTTGGGGATATACAATATGGCTGATGTAAAAACCTAAATTGTGTCATAGTCTTTCCGAATGCATTTTTTAAACTCTGTTCCTCTGTTCCTGCTAACAGATGTCAATGAGTGTGAAGCCAACCCTTGCAGCCAGGAGTGTGCAAATGTTTACGGCTCGTACCAGTGCTACTGTCGCCGTGGTTACCAGCTGAGTGACATCGATGGGATAGCTTGTGAAGGTACTGTTTGACTTCCTGGTTCTTGGTGAGGCAACAAAACCAACAAGAGAGTGATCACATGTCACATAAAATAAGTTATTCTAACCAGATTTTGCCATTTCCCGCTCTCAGATATCGATGAGTGTGCTCTGCCTACTGGAGGTCACGTATGTTCCTACCGCTGCTCCAACGCCCCGGGAAGTTTTTACTGTACCTGCCCTCCTACAGGCTACGCACTCGCACACAATGGACGCACGTGCCAAGGTCAGTCGATGAAGCTTTGGTCAACGATAACTGAATTGTAAATGTTTTTTTTTATTAACCGTTGCTTGTTTTCAGACATTGATGAATGTGCCGCGGGGATCCATACTTGTTCTGTCTCTGAAAGCTGCTTCAACATTCAGGGAGGATTTCGCTGTCTGTCCTTTGCATGTCCGCAAAACTTCCGGCAAGCAGCACAGGGGTAAGAGCTGATGGTTTCTTGGTAATGACAAGCTTTGGTAATGAATGGTTCACTGTCCCTAGCTGAGCATGATGTATCTTACTTCTCTGTAGTTTAGTTTTAAGAATACGTTGTATCTTTTTACACCCTTTTCTAATTTCCTGAGTTTCTTTGTCTGGTTTTGGACTGCTCTGGACGCTTTCAACACCCTTTTCTTATTATCTGGCCTTCATAAATTATTTCCTCTCTGTTCTTTGTCTCTTTTTCCACCATGTACGCAGCCGATTCTGCTTTCCATCCAATCAGTATTTCATTTTTTCCCATTTCAGCCGTTGCGAGCGAGTAACTTGCGAGTTCACGCGGGATCCTGCGTCGTGTTTCTTGCTCCCGCTGAGAATCTCCTTCTACAACATCAGCTTCCCAACCAACACCCCCGTCCCTGCTGTGGTTTTCCGGATGGGACCCTCTAATTCTGTGCTGGGAGACAAAATGCTGCTCAACATAGTGTCCGGAGATGAGGAAGAATACTTTGTTGTGCAGCAGCATGCATATGGAGGAGAGATCTCACTTCGCCGTACCTTAACCCTGCCGCGGGACTTCTTTCTGACCGTGGAGATGAGGTTGATTCGCTACGGGACGGCTCATCTGTATATGGCCAAGATTGCGGTGTTTATCACAAACGAGCAGCCTATCCGGCCTTCAAGAACATTTCCATATTAGAAGTCTGTGAAATAAAAAGAAAATACGTATTTTGTACCCAGTACGCATGTTTAATAAGGTTTTTTTTATTTGTTTTTATCTATCCTTTTACTTCAAGCAGGACTCACAGCTGCAACTTTCTATCTACCCTCCAAACAGTTTATAAGGGGCAAATGAATAATTGTTGTTCAGTGATGTAAAAAAAAGACTAAAAAAAGCACAAGATATCACAGCAGTCTTTATGATGAACTGGAGTGACTATTTATTTGTATTGCTAAATTCTTCTTCTCAGTATTGAGCGAAAAGGATTGATGGCATTCTCTGTCTGTAGCCTATGCTTAAAATGAAGCTGCAGCGAGCATCAGGTTAGCTTACTTTAGCATAAAGAAACAGCTAGCCTGGCTCTGTACATCAAATACTTGAGAAAGTCACCGCGCCTAGAAAAGACGTTGTCCAGGACATAAACCTTACAAAAAATATATAAAGTTAGTGAGATTTTGAGGTGCTGGTAGCCATTGTGTATTACTTTTGATCAGAACTAAGCTAGCTGTTTCCATTCTGTATGCTAAGCTAAGCTCGGTGGCTCCTGTTGCTTTAAAGGAGACCTATCATGCAAAATGCACTTTTGTTCGTCTTTTACACATGAATATGTGTCCCCGGTGTTCCAGGGAACTCACCAAGTGTCAGAAAACACAACCCTCTCTATTTTCCTCCATACCCAAATCTCTAAAAAAGGGGCTGCAACGGATCTGATAAAAACTGATCCAGATTTGAACACTGTCCTGACGTCAGGACGGTGGCGCTACGGCTATTGGGCCAACTCCACCAATCAGGAGGAGACAGCCACGGCCATTGCCGTTCGAAAGCGCTGGAGACGCTGTAGTGCATATGCCAGGCCTGTAGGTGGTGCTGTTCTCACAGAATCTGCCCTTGCAAAAACAGAGCTAAAAAAGTGCAAATTGAGCGAAATGAGGCATGGCTAAAATGCATGATCTGTTTGGTATTTTGAAAAAAAAAAGTATAAATATGCCTTATATAGGTATGGTCCTACACTATATTATTCAAATATAGCATGATAGGTCCACTTTAAATGTACAAATACAAATGAAAAAAAAGATAAAGAAGTAATAGTTTGAATTTGTGTATGCATGATGCTTTCAGAGGGCCAGTAACAAGAGTGGTGCAGGAATGAGTCCTAAAACCAATAAATCAAGAAGGGAACCCTTGCGATGCTTACTTCTGGGTTAACCTAAAAAATAGTCATCACTGCAGAACTCTATGAATAGCAAACAAGGAACAGCAAGTGACACAAAAGCAACATTAAGGAGTGATTGCTTTAACCTTATCAACTGTGTAAAAACAGGATTCGTCCCTAATCTCTAAAGCATTGGCTCATTGGAGTCCCATCTGTGCCTTTACAGCCAGTTAAAGGGCCGTTAAACAGCTAGGTGGGGTTGAGCTACACACTCAAGCACCACCTGATAGAGCCACTTCACACTTTTCACTTTAGCCACTGCCATGATGGACTGGGACTCCAAGCGTCGTCTAAAGCTGCATGCAGCAAGATTTTTCTATATCCAACTGCTGATTTCTCCCAATGCCAAAAGGCCTTTCTCAAATCAAACTGCATCAAAGGGTCAAAACCACCACAGCTCTCTTCAAGCTGCCGTTTCCCCCCCAGTCTTTCTTCTCATCCTCTGCTATAAATCCCACCATCTGCATCGCAAGCACACCACCTGGAATTTGAAGCCACCTTGAAGAAGATCCCTTTAAGTTTATTTGCCCACAGCGTATGGCCCTACACTATATTATTCAAATATAGCATGATAGGTGTCCTTTAAATTACACATACAGACATGAGGTTGGTATTGATCTTCTCTTTTTACTTTTAGCAATACATTTATTCGTCTCCAACCCCCCAAAAAAACCAATTCCTTATAGTTTTGTTGTTGGTAGTAACGGATTTGAGTGGTTATAGTTCTAAGCAATGTTGCTATTTGAATTGCGGTTGAAAGCAGAGATGGATTTCTTTAAAAAAGTGCCTTGTCTTATCGATTTTTTCAACACTTAAAACCCTTCTCTTGCGTTAGGTCATACCCCCCTTCTCATACTATTTTTGGTCAAAATTGACCGGTGTATTTTGCACAGTGATATCTCTGGAACCCCTTATCCAATTTTGATGGTTGACATCTCATTTGAACAGTCAAAGCAAGTAGAATCAAGGGGGAAATGACACCAGGGGTGAATTTCATGTTATAATTTAGCAGTAAGTTCAAAGATGGTGATTACTATACATTACTGTATATTATAAAAATGCTTGCCATGTAGGCTGTGTTTACTGGAGATGGAAATGCTTTAGTTGGTGTTGTAGCTGAGATTCTTCCCGTTCCAATGATGTATGGGATGTATTGATTTGATACAAGCAAGTCAGTGTTTCATTGTGTACTTTCAACTAGAGTATATGGTCCGGACCCACGGTGGGCCCATCAAGTTCAGCATTCACTGCATACACTGTGATGAATATAAAATAAGACACTGATACTGTTTTCCTCAATGAACATTTAGAGAAAAATAAATATTCAGGGCTCCTCTCCCTCAGGGGCCTCTTCCTGGTCTGTTGACTGTTGGTCAGGCTCATAGTCTGGATCGCTGTTGTCTTCCATTTCTGAGACATCGTCCTCTTCAATCTCCTCTTCATCTGTTTCAAAACATTTGTCCAGAGCCTCTCTGACAGAAAATCGCCTAATCGGTCGCCTACTCATTGTGTCAATGAGTCAAATGTGAGCAAGGCACAAATATAACTGCATGAGAGACAGTAATGGAGGGGCATTTACTGCGAGAAAGTGAGAGGTGTTTCTTTCTCGAGGGGCACAGAGCTCGCACCTGTGAGAAGTTATGATACCTTATGATTGTATCATACAGCGCGAGAAAGTGAGAGGTTCCCGTAACTTAGAGTAAATTGTTTTGTCTGGAATGTGTGTGTGTGTGTGTGTGTGTGTGTGTGTGTGTGTGTGTGTGTGTGTGTGTGTGTGTGTGTGTGTGTGTGTGTGTGTGTGTGTGTGTGTGTGTGTGTGTGTGTGTGTGTGTGTGTGTGTGTGTGTGTGTGTGTGTGTGTGTGTGTGATGCTTTCCATCTGCAGGATGAACATAATACACTCATACCCATTCATTTCCTATGGCAGTCAATTCTGACCGAAAACATCATGGGTGTTTCACTGTTGAATAAATCACTAAAAAAATCAATGCTAGTGATGATCATCAATTGTATATGTTCAGAAGCCTAGTGTGGAGGATAACATAAGGTATTGAGGCAATTGGATGAAAAACACAGTATTTATGATAAAAAACAAAGTCACTTTGTCACTTTTGACCCGAAACGCAAGAGAAGGGTTAATGCCTTTTTTATTTATTCTAATAGTATATGTGTTAAGAATTTTAGGACATTGTACCACTAGATGGGGCTCATTAGCTATTAAGGATCTAACACTATGACAGGATTGTTCATTTGTAATAATTTGTACAGATGGCAGCTCACTTTACCTCAGCTTCCCTTTATGTGTACTTTCTAAGTGATTGGAATTAAAAGAGTGACAGATAAAAATGGCTTTTTACTCTTTAATATTCAAGCACAAACACACATACCGGCAATGGTTTCTGCCCTTACTCTCGTGCTTCCTCCGCTGTGGTCATTTCTTATGTTGAAAGCAATTTTTCCTATGATCTGTTCCAAGTGGCCTCACCATAGGATCAAACAGAACTCGCCTCAGCGGATCGCAAGAAAAATAAGCGTGGCACTTATTTATGGGCACCTGGGGCTCGGCCAACATGGGGGCTCAATTTGTGGTGGAGCAGCATTACAGCTCGTATGATGAATAGTGCTTTTAGTGTTGGTATTGGGTGGTTATCAGTTGATTTGCTGTAAATGATACCAAAAGGGCAGTAGCTGTGTTGGTCAGCTGGATAAATGCAGCCAGACACATTTTCCACTGTTCCACTTTCCTCCCGGTGGTTTTTGTGGTTTAATACATATAGAGCTGATTGAAAATGCAACAAAATGAAATATATGAGCTAATCATTCTCTTAAATCTTTGGATCATATAACCACCACCCAACTACTTTCCAAAATGCCTCACTAATTACTTCATATATGTAAAAATAGTGATATGTTGTATGAAATAATAATGATTGTATCTCTATTTGTCAGTTTTTTGGAGGGTTACAATCTTTTGGGAATGTTATTCTGCTGCGGATTCGGTCAAAATCCTGATATTTTTTTCAGATTCTTCCTCAACAAATTCTTACATACCCGTGCCTGGTTTTCCACCATCCCACTATCCTTTATAACATTGACCTGGTGAGGAATACCACACAACCATCTCTGGTTTTGGCGCCATGCTTATAGGGAATGACTTGGACTCACCTGCTTGCTGCTAATTACACAGCTCTGCTCCCGTGGTCGTTTCTGAGGTCACATTTGAAAGTGCACAAACATGATTTTAGGTTGTGGAATCAGGGTTTGGACTCTTTCTAAAGTGCCCGTTCCATGGTTAACCATGCAGGTCTATGGGACTATTCAGGTGTTGCCAGGTTCTTTTTGCTCAATTTAACTGTTTAATCCTAAAAGTTGTTTCTTAGAAATACTGGGAAGTACTGTATAGGTTGAAATTGTGAAGATTTCCCTTCTTAAGATATGTATTTCTCTCCCTGCCTTGGCACATTTATATATCCCCCTTTTCTCTGCATTTCCTCACTTTTTAGATCTGGTAGTCATGCTTTGACTAATGTGCGTTGCATTAAGTCCTGCCACCCTCATGACATCAACTGCAATATCAGCCCCGTCCACACCATCACCCACACCTCCCTCTCTCTGCCAACCTTCAGAGACTTCCATGAACCAGAGGGTAAGACAGGGGGAAGTACAGCAAGGTTTTAGTATGTATGCAGTGGTGTGCATTAGTTAGTTTAGGCATGACTTTGTTGTAGTCTTTATTATATGATTTAACCGTAGACCCAGGTTTCCAAACTTCATAAATGTTTTAAGGGGTTAATGGGGAAGCCTCATGGATGCCTCATTGAAAAATACAACTTTCAACCCACCAAGCTGTGCATAAGATGTAATTACTTGTTTCAACTCACAGAACAATTGATAATGATTTAAAGACAAAATCCCCTTTCTGGTTTGCCCCAACAGAAATAGTTTTCCTGCGGACACTTACAGCAGCTAACTCTGCTGTACCAGGCGCCACCGATGTGTTCTTTGACATCCAGTCTGCAGATGACCAGTCCTCTTTTGATATGGAGAAACGCACCCACCACGGCATGATTATGGGTAAGTGTCCTTCATGAAGACCTATATCAAACAGATATTTAATTTACTTATAAGTCTCCCAAAACTGAATTTCACTAACTAATCCCAATCTGTGTCATCACTCAGGTGTGGTTCGGCAGGTGAAACCTATCATTGGCCCCAGGGACCTTGTGATAGAGGTGGCTATGAACTATATCAAGTCAAGGGTTGTCTCTCATCGCAACATTGTCATCATTAATGTTTTCATCTCTGAGTTCTGGTTCTGAGCTCAGCTAAGGAGTTATTAGTTACCTAACAATAAATAAGTTGACAAACATTTTGAATTTGAAAACATACCTGATCTTGCTGGACATTTAAAAACAATGTTAGGTGGAAACTTAATTTGCAGTGTTTTAGAGGTACTGAAAACAATTACAGAAGCAGTTTGCAACCCATAAAGGTCATTTGTTTACAATAGGTCATTGTAATTTCAATGTAAATCAGAAAATATACTGTACTACGAGTCTACAACCATGCTAGCAGCTCTTTGAGGCTGTATTTAGCCTTTATTGAAATTAAATACTAATTTCAGCATGCTAACATGCTTACAGTGTTAAGCTAATAATGCAAATATTTACGAGGTATAACACCACAAAAACCTCTCAGTTTAGTCTGTAAGCATGCTAACATTTGATAATAAGCACTAAACCAGAAGCACAGCTGAGGCTAATGTGAATATTAGAAGTACCAAATGTTTGCCAAGCTATTCAATAGTTCATGAGATATTTCAACTAACCAAACTGACATCCTTATAATAGGGCCAAATCAGCCAAAGATATGTGCTCCATTTCAACTTTGATTGTGTTTTGTACCATCAGAATATGAGACCATCTGTGAATAATAAAGATTGTGTGGTTAATCGTGTTCATGTTTTTACTAAAAGGAGATCAATCCTAGACCGCTGCAGACTAAACCAATTGTCCTTTAGTTAGCATAACTGTGGTTTCAAGAATAACACAAATCTGATAGGATGTCCTGTTTTTCTGTAACTCAACTCTTCAAATTACCGATCAAAACCATACAACTTCCAGTGTGTGAGGTTATTTCCAGTTATTCCATTCAGAGAACTGAGTTATGGGAACATTTTCCTGGGAATGTTAAGATCTTTAAATACCTCATCTTTAACCTGACAAATTGCTTGAGGTGGATACTTCTGACCATCCATAATCAACTCTTTTCCACAGTGATATGGCTTTCACCACTGCTGTGCTGTGACCGCCGGCCAGTGAAAACACAAGTGACAACCATACCCAGGCAAATCCTGTAATCTAAAATGTGCCACTCTACATGAAAGCTCAAAAGGCTTGCCCTGTGGCTTTATTATTGCAGCTGCACCAATTGTCCCTCAACTTGGTTGGGCTGAATGAATTGATCTTCTGACCATTAAACACACAGTGTAGAACTTTTACTGTATCCAAGAAATTATTAGATGTTTTATTTTGGGTATGTTACAGTAAAGATACACTGTATATTTAAGGCTGCACCCTTCACAAATACCACTTGAATTAACATATGGAGCCCATGAGGGATTCCCAATTCTATTAGACTCAATAAATCTGTGCCAACCCTTGCAATTATAAAGCTAAGCTGCATTTATAAACCTTTTATACTAGGTTCCATATTATAAAGTGGTACTGTTTAATATTTCACCCAGCTGCAACTCACTTTCACTCAATAAAATATACTCTTACTGTATGTTCTGCCCTGACACATAACCATGTGCCACAGAGGCGGGTGACATGACAACTGTATGAAAACAGCAGCACATGCTCTGACTCCGCCTTTTTCCTGGATTGAACCAATAGCGTGTGAGACATCTAACCGGATGTCCCGCCCACACGAATGAATTAGCAGGCAAACATGGCAGCTAATACCGACAACATGGACATTGCTGGCATTTTGAAGGAAGAACACTGCCCTGAACACTTGCAGGTTTTACAAACATTTACCACCGCGTTACGTGACAAGGAATACAGGTGCGGACAAAGTAATGTAATGCTTTTTAAAAGGATACTGAGGGTGTTAGTAGCTTACCGACGAAGCTAGCTTGGTGTGTCGGCTACCTAAACGCTACTATTACATTTAACTTCCGGCGTATTATTGGATGCTATTTCAGGTCCGTTAAGTGTATTTTTATCTGTTAATGAACAGTGAAATGTCACATTTCTTCTTTATACTGACGTATGCATTTCAGCTGCTACTTAGAAAGACGACAGTCAAAGCTTTCTGTGGATTCCGATATTTCGAATTGTCATTGCAGGATTAGCACAGGTGTAACTAGTTACTAATATGACAAGGGGAAAAAAGTAATCTATTATATTACTTACACCTGTTAGGCCAATTAAATCCCTGCAGAGAATAGTGATACATTCATTGCACTAAACTAAATTCATTGCACTAAACAAAAAACCGAATATGTTGTCATTGATCTATTATCTATTTATGTAATTCTCTTTGCATTACTTTGCTTATATTTCCTCTTAATACATTAATTGTATGCTCCTAACACCAAGGCAAATTCCTTGTAAGTGATAACTCACTTTGCTATAAACATATACTGATTCATTTAACATTTCACTCCTTATTTCTGTTATATAATCCCCAGGCTGGGGTTCCACTGCATTACATTTACCATCTCTCACTTTCCCCACCTCGACTTTCCTCCCCCAGAGATGCTGTGAAGGAGGAGGTGTTGTCCAGTCTTCTACAGGTTTTATCCAGACTGTGCGATGAGCTCCATGCTGTCAGCTGTGACGATCAGGACCTGCAGTCTGTCGCCCTGCAGCTGCAGCTGACCGCCGAGTGCTTCAGGGCTCAGAGGAACACCTGTGTCGAGAGCGACCGCAACCAGAGTCTGCTCAGGTAAGAGCATCAGTTAATGGATAATATGAGATGTATATATTGTATATGCACATAACGTGGTTGATTCAACAGCACTTGGACATGCATCTCAACAGTCATTTCAACTTGCTAAATTGCCACAATGCTGTTCACTGTGTCTTCATGCTATTTTGCCACTCTTCTTACAATATATATGTACTTCTCTTTTTCCTCTAGGGAGCTTGGCTTCATTGATGTGTCCCTTAAACTCCTAGACTTCCTTCAGACCAGACATTCGGAGAGTAGAGATGGCATATTTGAACGTAAGTCTAAAATCAGTCAATTGTAATAAAAGCATTCGATTTATTTTTGCAAACTTTTTGATACTGAACATATTTATTAATCATCCTCTATGGCTTAGCGCTTCGTTGTGGGATCCAGTTCCTCGGTAACTTGTCGGTTGGAAACCAAATGTGTAAAGATGACATCTGGCGGCTGAGCTTCCCAAATCTCCTCATGTAAGTGCCACACTTGCACTTGTGAATTTTAAACAGTAAGCATCACTGTTACATAATATAGTTATTACTCATACTATGTTTTAGGGCTGCACAGTTAATCGAAATGTTATGAAATCTCAAAATGGACTAGTGCAATATCCATATCACAGTTGGCACAATTCTTACAAACAGTATTTTACAGACTTAAAGGTAGGGTAGGTAAGAATGGAGAAACCAGCTCGAGTGTGTTAGAATTTGAAAGTACACAACCGAAAAAAATCTGCCCCTTCCTGTAGACTTCCTTACAGAGCCCCTCCTCCAACACACACAAACGCGCACATGACCAATGAGGGCACAAGATAAGTTTGTGCACGAGATGGAAGGCTGACAGGCAGGTAGGCCATCCAGTTATTTTAGCCGGGCCGGTTCAGATGATTGGTCGTGCTTTACAGCGCCACAGGCTCATTGGGCTAACAAACTAGTTTTTAACTTCATATATATTATCCACATCTCTCTGTCTCTACAACACAAACATTGGGTTAATTTGAAACCACATTTTAACACTAATGCACACCTGTATCAGTATTTTTACTTGGAAAGCATTGCTCCTCAGATAAAGTCCACCCAATTATGTGTGAACAGGCAGCTGCTCAGTGTTGACGATGAGAAGACGGTAAACTACGCCTCCATGGTGCTCCACACATGTCTGGATGAAGCCAAGGTGGAGGAGCTGTCTGATCTGCAGAACATCCAGCTGGCACTCAGGGTGATGGAGCTCTGCAGGACCCATCCTGACCTGGACTGGACGTAAGAGTGTGTGTCTGTTTCAGTGTGTAGAACAATGCTTTTGTTTTTAGCTGTCAATCATATCAAGGAATGACAAACTGTCATCTTCGATTTGTTGGTGAACATTATATATTTTTTTCTCACAAATTTACAGGGTTCTCATTGCTACCCAGTTTTTCCTCAAGTCTTCAGCTCTGGTGGAGAGCATGTACTCTGGGATGTCTCACCATGAAAGGTACTTTGCTTTTAATGTAGGCAAAGATAATGCATATAACTATAGACCTCTTATGTTACACAGAAAGTGATTTAAGAACAAACACTGCCCCCTTTAACTTTTATATCCTGATTTTGAGTTTTCACTTTGTTTTGAGTTTAGTTTTAAGAAGTTGTATGAGTGCACTTCTTGCAATTATACTTTTGTTTCTGTTTATTTTCACTTAGTTGGATAACATTAAACCTGAGCTGAATAAACGGATTAAATGCCATTCAAACTACTGTGTGTGTGTGTGTGTTTCTTTTTCCAGACTTACTCTATTAGAGCTGCTCTTCGCTCAGCTACAAGAGGAGGACTCAGAGGGGTGTGGCATCCCCTCCGATGTGGCTCGCTTCGTGGCCACTTCCTTCGTGAAAGGTTGTGGGGCCGTGCTGACGCTCGCAACTGGCTCTGCCTCCAGTGATGAGGTACACATAGTACATTTGACTGATGTATATGAAGAGTGTGTGTGGCATGTGGAACTGTTTTCGCATTTCTAACTGACGAGGCCCTTCCCTAACGTTATATCAAATCCAACATCCTTTCCCCATGTGACCAACATCCTGCTTGCGATCCCCTGTAGGTCCTGCAGGAGGCGATGACAGTGATCAGTCTGCTGGACGTGCTGTGTGAGATGACCTCAGACCACAAGCAGTTCAAGTTCCTCCAGGAACATCCCGACCTTCTAGTAACAACTGTTGGTAAATTTAAACAAACACTCACACAAGCTCTCTGACCGCGTCTGCAGCTGGAGGTTTAGGGTCAATTGCTGGTTTTTAAATGGTAAAAATCTGTACACCATATGCACTCCCTGAAATGGTGAAAGATTCAGATCCCCGTGAAATCACCCACAGAAAACCAAACAAAATTCCTGAACACAGCCCTCGGTTATGTTAGAAAGCTATAAAAACACAACAAGTTCAACGACAAACGAGTTTACACAAATCAGTTTTTTTGGCACTTAATTTAAAGGTCCCATGTCATGGCCATTTCTACTGATCATAATTCCATTGTTGAGGTCTACTAGAATAGATTTATATTGTGCAATTTTCCAAACTCACATTGGTTTCTCATACAGCATCTCTGTATAGTATGTGTATTCACTCTCTGTCCTAAACGGCTTGTTGGAGCTCCTGCCCCCCCCCCTCCCTATGAGCCCAGTGGCCGTCTGTGAGACACAGCGAAACCCAGCCCGAACACACACACACACACCCGCAGCCTGGCTGGGAGTTTGTGTCTGTGCTCACACACCGACTCACAGCCTCGCCGCGTCCTGCCGTCTCAGGGAGGAGAAATCGGCGGAGCTGCAGCTGAGAAAAGATTGAGTGTGTGAGGAAGTTAACGTAACGGCTACGAGGACGTAACGTAACGGCACTATACCCAAATACGTCACTGTACCCAGGAAGAAAAAGAAATCTCAAACGAGGCGTTCTGGGGCAGCATAGACAGGTCTTTTCTGTGCTACAGGGTGTACTTTGAGGGTTTTTGACTCTGCAGACCGTT